GCGTTAATTTTATTAGTATTCGCCATTAAAAAAATACAACTCTAAATTGTACCATCAACCCTATTTTTAATAGCGATATTAGTACTTCAATTAATATGGTGAAACACGTATGCTGGCCGGATCAGCTAGTTCTTCAATAAAGAAATTAAAATGTAGATTTAGTTACAAGTTCGCAAATTAATATACAATACAGTACTTACTAAAGCCTGAGATTCAAGTTATTACATTATAATTAATTTTTAAATTACTGATCCAATTAACATCAGGACCATTACAGACTGATTTCTAGACGAAATAGAATCTAAATGATGCCAAATGGTACTCCTGAAAACGGTTCAATAGGGTGAAAGGGTTGTGAGTAACAGGTACTAGAAATTCCATCTAGTAATGTACTATGTGAGAATGACCTTCTAGATATTACAGTGGTTAAGGCCTAGTGATTTGATCTTCATCCCTATTCTCCATTGGTGCCCAACTTAACAGGATTGGTGCACTCAGCACTTTTAAATCACCCATAACAATTCATTTAAACTTAATTGTAAATAGAAAATATACAAATGTATATAAACTATTTAGTAAAATAATCTCACCAGAAATGCATAAAATGATTAGCTAGCATTAAAGATTAACAGAAGTACCATTACATCATGTATAAAAAAATATGTTTACAAATATTTTCTGGTAAGCTTTCAGTAAATACTGTTTTAATAATAAATCTAATCCAAAACACAACCAACTTAGAGTGAACATATACCTATAGTAGGTACTATAATGAGAAAACATATAATTATGTGCATATTACTTTAAGTGACTTGCAAGACAGTGATGACGTAGGAGACAAAATATAAGTATACATATACTAAGAAAAAAATTAATATGATTTTCTGAAATATAAGCCTCAAATTTAGTATGCTATAAAAATATCTGCATACGGTGGTACAGGCTGTAGTGTTATTATTATAAGGAAAAAATCAATTTTATATCTTGATTATGATAAAAAAATCCTTTCTAGTAACTATCAAAGCATGCTGCGACCAAAGCGGCGACAGCTGTTTTTAAGACAATTTAAAGGAAGTGGAATATTGTCATTTATATATCTATAATCACGTCCAGCTGATTGGGCCCTAATGGTGTAGGCAAAGTGATAACATTTAAATTTATAAAGTCTATTATTTTGTATGAAATATTAATGATATTCGTATCACGAAATTCCCTATTAATTGTAATTAATAAATACTACGCCTTGTATAGGGGAATGCAAACATTTTGGTAGCATGCTATATATTTTTATATACTTATATGAATTTTAGATAAATAACACTAAAATGAAAGTAATCAAGTATAAAAAATTACTTGGTGAAACCTTCACTTCACAATTCCATAAAAACTTACACTCATCGAATATTACATATTAGGAAATCGCATTATTTCTATAGCAATTTACAAGAAAATTTACAATTAAAGGTAGCATTCCGATGACGGCGACAGAGACTATAGTATAATATTATAAAAAAAATTACTATTTAATCGATTACGTTGCACAACACAAGCTTTAGTTTCGCCGTCGATATGTATATCACAATATATGTATTTAAAGTATGCAAAAATACATTATATAATAAATAAATAATAATAAAATCGAGATTTCATCCACAATGTTAAAGGTAATTAGAGTTTATTTTCATAGTCAAGGGTTTAATTTTTCCAGCGATGCTTATGCGCTTTATAGAAATAATATTCTACAACCTCACAAGGTTGTAGCAATAAATTCGCAAAGCGTATTACTTAAAAAACATGAGATAATTAATAGTAAATCGCTTTTAAATATCACATACTAAAAATTCGGTCGCACGATGCAATTTTGGTCATCGGAAAGCTATCTTAACTGTAAGTACAGTTGCAATATATATTTAAAACATTGGATATTAAACATTGTATTAAATAATTAGATTTACTTTGCAACTGCATAATAATAACAAAAATAAATGTAACTAGTTCATTTAAAACGCCCATATTCAATTAAAAAGATAGAATTAATTATAAATTCATAACAATATAATAATAAATCATATCGTATCATCAAGTAAATATTAGAAATTAATAAAGATAGACAAAAAATATAACGTACACATGTTTTAAGCTATTGAATCATTCATACATAAGTATGAACACTTTTAATAAACAAAATGACATTGTCATTTGGACAACTTATTGTTATAAAGCAGTGACTTTTAGAATTTTTAGACTATAATATTAATTAAATGGTAGGCATAAATTTGTAGAGTAAATTACGTGTGCATTAGGTTTGCGAATTTCTAGAAATCTAACTAAAACTCATTTTCACTTTTTATTTTAACTATAAACAGTTAAATAGATAAATTAGATAAACTTTTACTGGTTTAGTATTTTTTTATTTATATTATTTTAAACGGTGACCGTACTTAGATATGTTAAGCTATCTTTCATTGCTTTAATAAAAATTAAACACAAATATATTATGACGTGGTCTAAATTGAGGCTTAGTGTAAACGTCATTGATTGAATTAAATTCAAATTATACTAGAATTATTACGCGCGTACTGAGCTATCTGTACTTCTGTGACTAAAGTCATATCTGGCAGGAGTTGGCATTCATTCGCTGCACAAGTCATTCTGCTGTTTTCGACTACTTTCTGTAGCTTATGAAAAAGAAATCAGAATTGTATTTGTGTAAGAGCCTGTAAATGTTTTAAAAATGAAGTAAACACTGCAATTTCTTAAGTAAACCTTTAAATACATAGGTATATCTATGAAACTGCTGAAACTGAAAAATTGGTTTCACCGCTTTATACCGTAACTTTTTTGTTCAGAGTGACGCAAATCTATTATATATGGAGGCGTAATATATATATATATATATTATATATTACGCCTCCATAGACAAAATGTCCCACCACATTTTGCATCACATTTTTTAAATATAACAAATAAGTTGACCAAAGACTTCAAACATTTGACACGTTAATTATTACCTTATTACATGGAATACTAGGGCTTGACTAGGATTCGTTACAGAAATGTGTCTTATACTAAGAGTACATTGAGTTACTACCATATTTAGTTATATGTTTTGTGCCGCGCCCCACCTTATGTGTATAGCATTATGGATTATATTAAAAAAGAAAACACATTTTTTAATATATCACGTACAATTATTAATAAAAAGTAAGTTGTTACTTAAACTGTCTTTTCTATTTAATCAATTCCACTTTCAAGTCATACTACCAAGACTAGGGTTATTACACCTGGAGAGGGTATATGAAAAAAAATTAATTTGATACAATTTTAAACAACATTATATATTTTTAAATTATAAATTACACGAACAAACATTCATAGAGGATTCTCATATAAATATTTATATGGCTTCAATAATACTCTTGTATTATATGAATAAATTATTTTGACTTTGACTTTGATGCCCCAACAGTTACAACAACCCTTGTCAATACATTAAATAAACCACAACAATTAATGGAAACAATATCCACAGCAACAAAACCATGATAATAACAATGATTCGTTGTCATACTAACCTTTAGTATGATGGCAAAAGAATATAAACATAAATTCTTCACCCCCCCCCCCCCCCCCCCCCCCTTCCTCTCCAAACGCTCCGTGTGTATATATATATGTTTATATTGTAGACAGTTTCCATCTGGTAAAACATTTATCACAATATTCATAGAAACTAAAACGCTCTACAAACCTATTTTAATTATTATAGGGTGCTGTCCTTTTCTTTCAAATGAACTTTTTAGGTTAGGTTGGGTAAAGGACAACATAATTAAAGTAGGTAAGCAAGATATTTGGCATTATTATGAATAAGGGGTGTCAGTTTTCATTTCCATATCAGTGGTAACAAAATAATGACTTAACTAAAACATGTGACAAAACAGAAAAATTAATAGTAAAATTAGCTAAACTATTGTAACCTTTATTATTCCTAGATGAGTCGCTGTGGATATATTTTCCTATAGAATGCGGATGCGAGAGTCATGTTTCGTAGACTGATTATGAATAGTATCATAAACTAAGATAATTTAAAGGAGAAGAGAGAAACTGTAATATGTCGTAAAATTAAACCGTATGTATATCATTAAATTAAATAATGAATTCGTGAATCACCGTATCACATTGTATTGAGTTAAATTCTGTAAAAAATAAAAAAAATAGTAGATTTAAAATTAGAGATTATCTATTATTATTGTACAATTGACCTTTCTGACAATGTTTATAAATTAAGAAAATGCGAACAATGCGAATAATAATAATATATAAAAACAATAACAAAAAAATGAATATGTTATATACAAAGCCTAAATTACTTTGAATATACATGAAACATGCCATTTTATTGGAAGTTTAACAAGATGGATATTATTATAATATTATATAAACTACCAAAAATGTAATATTCAGAAGGACTCCAAAATCACACAACCTTCAAATCTATAAATTGATACCTATCTAATTTGCAAATAAATTCGTTGGTTTATTCTATCTATCCTATTGGCAGCGTATGCGTGGTCCGGTCGTAGGATATCAGTAAATACTATTTTAGTAAATTTGACACTTAACAACATAGCAATACAGTATATTGTGCGATATACATTTACTTCATAACTAGGGTAAACTGTCAGTCTCGTAGTCCTAATTAAGTCGAATAGAACATAAAAGAACCCTGTATTAGAAAACATCGATATCGTTTTCGAAACGAACACGACTCTCGAATCCGCAAACATCCAAACGAGCTTTACGGCGCTCGACGCAAAGTATACTTTCGCATGACACAGAGCTACAGCGTCCGCGACGGACGCGTGTAGCTTCCAACTCCCGGGTGGAACGATCCGAGTGATTTGGTTTAGAAAAAGGGACTTAGTTGCCAGGGAGATAGGGAGGAGGTCGGCATGGCGGGGGGCGCGCTAGGCGGCGGGGGGCGGCGAGGCTGCGGTCGCGTGTCACCGCGGGGCGCCGCCGGCCGCGCCTCGACCGCGCCGTCCCGGCTTACCACGACGGTTGAACCCGCTGCAGGGAAATCACACATCTATTAGTACTATGTTACAGGTGTAATTAGAATGGTAAACAAGCTGACAACCTACTTAGTAGAAAGCGGTAACTTTATACATGAACAGCACTATGGACATTACGTTATCATGTGACTCTCGTGGTGGCAACGCATCATGTCGCTGTCATTCCAGCGGACTAAGATGTCATGCCTCTTACCTTGTATTTTCACTGCCTAATCTACATCCTACAAATAAAACACAGCTTAGAAAGCAAGCTGCTAGACGGCTGAAATAAGCGTGTTTTAGGCACACAGATTTTGTGGCAATTTGTCGATTCTGACAGACACAACAAAACCTTTGCCAATTTATAGGCAAGTAAAAACACACACTGCTGAAAATATTGATAACGAATCAAATCCGAGAGATGGTGGTAGTGTTCCCTATTTCAAGCTATTACTCAAACCTATACCATGCAAAAAGTGGACATGGCAAGTAGTAATTTATAATTGCGACAATGCTTCCGACTACCCTATCCGAGATAACTGCCGTGAAGGAATATTTCTAAATTAAAAAAAAAGAACTTACCGATAAGGTCCGCGGTACACTGGGCGGGAATGTGGTGAGCCAGGCGATAAATTGTCGTTAGATGAGTTGCCATTTGGTCGCACTCCAGATAGGGCTTCTGTCTTTGTGCTTTCCGGGTGGCCGCTGGAGGATCCGTTTGTAGCCTGTTGTTGAATTATCGCATGCGTTAACTATTATGTATAATGCACAAGACGATTTTTTTACGTAATTCGAGTGGCAAATATGCAAACGGCCCACTTGATGGTAAATGGTAATAATCGCCTATGTACATTAACAGCACTATGGATATCTGGTTATCAGCGAAGTCCGTCATGTCTTCCCTGTTCAGAGACATAAGATGTCATGCCTCTTATCATGTGATTTCACTGTCTAATATAAACCTAGAATTAAAACTAAGCAAGCTGCTTGTCGGCAGGAATAAGTAAGGTTAAAGTATTAAATTATATTATATTCGGGAAAATTATTGAATATCCAAGTTACAGTTAAAAAAAATCTTACATTGTCATTATCAGATGGTGAAGTGATGGTAAGTGGTGGTGGTCCAGTGTCCCCAGCACCCACTACACCACCCTTAGCGACCTGCTGCGCAAGTAGTGCCGCCATCTTCAACTGCAATGCCTGTGATATAAATGAATATGTTAAATATTTTTCAACAATGAACTTACTGCTACCCCTCTTATATTGCCAGTTGATTATAATAAATTAATGGTATTTGGACTTAAAAATCTAAAGTTACAACATTTGTATAAAAGAGCTTGTCTGTTGCAACAATAATGTATTTATCATTTTTCTTTTACAAGTTAAGATGTGCAGGAATTCTATCCTTGGTATTTATTTGGTCAGAGCAATGTTAATTTAAAATTAATGTAATCCTGTCATAATATTCAATCAATTTCACAGGATACAGAAATGCAAAGATTAAATAGAGTAAAACAGATAATAAGATTAAGACCTTAAGTTCAGCTGTTAAACAGAATGGTGGAGCGGTGACAGAATCTACAGGTAGAGGTGCTTTCTTCAGTGTGTCCACGTCACAGGAAACGGGACAACGGCATACAGGACATGTTTGCTGTAAATCAAAGATTATACAGTCATGTTAAATGCAATAAAAACCTTAATGTAATATCAATAGAGTACAATATCGAATTTCAATTTGATAGCGGTAATATTAAACAACAGGTAACAATGTTGTACCTACCTGATGGTAAATAGGATACATCGCCTATAAAAATGAACAATACCACTAACATCATCATCCTGTAATGCCTGCAATACATTAATGCTTGACAGCCTCATTGGTCTAGCGGTTTAGCACATTGTTTTAAGTCCAATGGCCATGGTTTCTATTCCTTGCATGGTGCAAACATTTGTTTGTATCGGTCTTGGTGTTTTCTATGTATATAATATATGTATTTACATAAAAAAAGTATTTATATCAGTTGTCTATTACCCATAACACAAGCTTGCTTACCGTGGGACTAGATGGCGCTGTGTTCATTGTTTTTTAATGCTTTACAGAGGATTCGTTTTCTTATTATAAATGCAGCTTTGCTTATAGTAGAAATAGGTGAGACAGAGGTACTGTTATAGTAACTTTATACAAAGACAAACTTAGTATAAATTTTTATAAGTGGTTGAAAAAATAAAGTCACACTCACCTGGTAAGGAGGTGCTTGCATTTGCTGCCAACTAGGCAGTTTCTCAAGCTCCTCTGTATAATTTTTTTTGCCCGCAATCAGATGGTTTGCAAGGCAGTGGCTATGGAAGTGATGATAACACTGAGTCTTAATGAACACATCTCCCTCAGCGAACCCAAAAAGGCATATCACACATTGCCCACTTGGGAGGTTGCTCTCAGTCAGGTTTTCTCTTATCAACTGTAATTTTTAATCTGTGGTTAGTACCATATCTAACTATTAAAAAGATTCATAATAGGTCGAAATGGGGGGAAGGGGATTGTGTAATAAGGTAATAGTAATGTAGAATTATAACACCATTGCTAACAATGTACCATGTCAGGTTGACATATAGTTCCCCCTGGAAACCATCATGTTAAATTCCTGGAATTTCCTGAATTTGTTACAATGGGCTACCTGATCTGACCTCCTACTCATTTCATCTTCCTCCACTGATGCCTCGCCAGCGTATACCGTTAGCGCAGGCGAGGGCACCATTCCATTATCATCCCTTAAAAAATAGGTTAGAATGTATAAAATATGTAATTTTTTTTAAATGGAATAGTGCACCTTACTGTTGATGTTGTGATGTTTCTATTAGTAATACTCCCCTATTCCTCAAATCATGATTGTAGACGAAGCGAGATGAATGTGTGAAGATAAAAGGTTAATGAAACTTGGTTCTCTGTTAACAATTATATATAGATATTAGGGGGGGGGGGGGGGAGCAGCGAAGTTAGTAATGGGAAGTAATGGTACTATGTATTATTCTAATAGTTTTTGTATTATAATTTGTAATTATGTTTTAAAATTACACCAGTTTAGCACTGGTTTTGCTACAGAAGACTGACCCTGGTAATGCAATGGTACATTGCCAGGATCAGCCTGTCATTGAATAAAAAAATACTGATGAACTAACTGACCAGACCATGATCATCCTATAATTGCCCTTCACACGAGTGTATACTGTTACTGTGGGGTGGGGTCCTATATGCATACTGGTGGTGTTATACATGAAATTGATTTTTTTTATTTGCAGAAATCTATATATCTATAGCAAACAAAAATATAGATAGATATCATTACTTTGATTCATCATCATTCATCAATAAATAAATTTAAACTAAAAAAAGCTGATTGTTTTTATATCTACCATTGTTATAAAATTGTTAAATTTATTGTTACACCAGATTGTTATTGGTTAATAACAATCTGGTGTCAACAAAACTTTAAAGGGTTCATAGCACCTTTTATTATCAATCTTACAAAATATATTTTTAATAATAAAATATTACTTAGTATGTTATAGTTATGTACATTAATATTATAGTTATGGGTATAATTATCTCATTTTTCTATATGTACATTATAAATACACTTATTTATTTTCTGTTGGAAATTATTATTCAAATTATCCATTTATTATTGAAATACAATAGAATTACATACCTACTATTTGTAGCCGGTTTTAAAACATTGTATGAATGAACATTTGGGTCACACAAAACCTGTTACTAGGTCATACTGTTTTAGATTATAATATTGTGTTAAGGGACTATGAAAACTTTATTTAAATAAGAAAACAATTAGATACTGCAGACATGTTTGAATTTTTAATAAAACATACAGCATACACATCTGTATAAGTATACATGTAGCTGTATATATTTTGCTCTGTACATATATTTTATAACTAAATACAATATACTATTTTTTGAAGCTGTTTAAGTTATTTTTATCATTCATTATAAATATATGGTTTGGCATTGAAAAACTTTCTCACCTCAATCAATTCAAAAACGACAGGTTGACCCAGACAATCAAGTAATTTATCGCGAATTTGTGAATTAACAGTCGCCAGCAATTCATCGTCCAGGCCTCTAGGATTCCTCAGCCTCACCTCCGGACTGCATTCAGGATATCCTGGAGTCAATTTCACCTCCAGGGTGACACAGACGAATTGCTGGTCGACATCATCCCCCGTAGAGGGGTGTACTACCGTTTCTATGATATGTGGCACATCATTTACACGTTTAATCACTACATCGTCCATCAATATAGCTTCCAAAGCCTCTATTTCATCGGAAATCCTGTAAAATTAATAATTTTAAGATTAATTATACTTAAAATTTAAATTATTCGTGACGAACCGAGTTCACTCACCTTTCGTCCACGGTGGTCGACATGATTACTGAAATCTGGGCTAGCCTGGTATTACAAGTGCATTCATTTGAGACAGGCGCAATGCAGACGGTGCAGCTAAACAGCTGGGAAGTTCAGTCAGATGAACTCTCAATAAAAATCAATCATGATGTACCATGTAACAGATAACAAATATTTGAACCATAGAGTACTAGAAATTATTACAATATTTTGGAGAATTCCTTGTCTATGGTTCCAAACGTTCATCACATAATACTATGTAAAAGCGCCATCTGTAGTTACATATTTTCACTAGCTACAAGAATATTAACGGAAGCAAGAAAGCTTGCTTTAGCGCGGTTATTGCTACATTCACATAAGAGCGGAAATTTTAAAAATTGGTTCGTGCAGCAGGATAATCTATGAGAAATAGCATTACCTTTAGTTCTATTGGTAATGAATATTTTTATTCCGAGATACAATTTTTGTATCTCTATTATGATATACAAATATACATATTTGTATTTTTATATTTAAATATATTTGTATTTTTATAGTAAATAAATAGCAAATTATAACAAAGAGCAACCTCTTTGTTATAATTTGCTATTTATTTACTTTATAAGCTGAGATATAGTCATTCCCGCTTGATTCTCTTTGTTGCCTTTTCCGTAAAATATTCATAAACACAATGTTTCATTCATAATGTTTATCATTATGAATGAAACATAATTTCATTAATATTTGATATAGACAATATTAAATCTTTAAAGCTGTGTTTAAATGAATGACTATTAAGTTATTCAATTAAACTATTAAGTGAAATGAAAACATTTAATAATAAGAATAAGAATATATTAATAAAATATTTTATTTTTTTTCAGACTAAGGTAAAATATATCAATATATCTACTTTAGGAAAGAGATCAATAATACAAAAATACAATACGAGTAAACATACAGATGTGTGCCGTAATAATATTTAACATTACGTTAGTGCAACTTTGTGCACACGTAAATTACATACATTTCAACCCTTCCGATTCCGATTGATGAATTATCCATTCAAATAGCATAGAAATTACGAACCCCCTTAGACTAAAGTCGTATGCGTCAGGCTGTTGTTATCTTACAGCCGCTCCATAAGTCCCCCGGGTTTTGAATGTACTCTGCACTAGTCGCCATTGAAGGAGTAAAGGCCAGCTGCGGCCAACAGCATTAGTAACTACTAATACTAAAGAATAGTTCCTATGTATATTAGTAATCTAGTTTATTTTGTTCCATTGACACAACAATTGAATCTTATCTATACAGTGTTTGCTTCTGTGGAAACAATAACAGACTCTCTTACTTCTTACAACCACACCACCTTATTACTCTGCCTAATGGTTAATTTGGTCCTGGGTCAGATCAATTTCAGATTCAGATTGTATATTTACGTCACGTATATTGTATATTACGTGCTTATAAATATACAGTTATGTTTGAAAGTTTAATAAAAATTAATAATTTTATTAAGGAATTAAATTGGGAATTGCAATTAAGCAATTCCCAATTTAATTCCTAATAATATATGTATTGAATTACTTATTAATTATATACCTAATAGTAATTCTTATAGGTACTTACTGGAGAGGCAGATAAATATTGTAAAAACAACGATATATTATTAACATACCTACTATTTAAAGCATAGGGAAAAATACCACAGGATTTTCCTTTTGTAATGTTATTATTACAGTACATATGTACGTGCTAAATAGATAACAGAGTATCTATACATTTTTGTACTTATTTAATGGTAAATATAATAAGTTATAATGCAAGCTTCTTACAGTAATAATAATAATACCTTAACGAATATGCTGACTGTGGATTCGCAGATCAGGAAAACAGAGTAATTATCAACTGTTACTTTTGTAATATTGTAATCGTAGCGTTTACAACATTTGACATGCCCACTTTATTTGGGTATATTTGAAAATAACATGGCAATTGACTATCCTACCTCCGTCTTTCGGATTCAACAGATTAATTGTTATGTATGTTTCCATTACTGTAGAGTTAGTCAGAAATATAAATTGACATAAAACGTTTGTTTTTGGTTTGGTGTCGTCCAGGACGGAACTTTCAACTTTGTAGCGTAACCATAGATTTTTTATTGTTTTAACTGTACCTATAACCAATACCCTATATTGTCTTTGGTAACGTGAATTGGCATAAGCAAAAAGGCGTTACTCTTAAATATAAAAACTAAAAAAATAACATCTAATTGTAATCTCAATTTTCTAAGTATTATTTATTATTATTATTATTATTTATTATTTCTCTATTTACGGATATAAAAGCAAATTCGACGCAGATTTTTTATTTTTAATACAAAGAAATCGCAAATTTATATACAAACTGACGGCCCGCCTGATATTAAGCGATAGGCGTCGTCTATGTACATGAACAGGACTACAGATGTAAAGTTCTCATGTAACACTCGTGATACCATTCCAGAGGTATAAGATGGCATATCTCTTATCTCGTTCTTTCGCCGCCGAGATGATCCACAATGGACGAATTATCAATTCATTGGCATCATGTTTATAGACGGTACTCCACTTACGGCCACTGAGGAGTTACTGGACCTGGTTGCCTTTCTGTCATTGCCTTTTGTAGTGACTCTGTTCTCCAGATAATCAGTAAAATTGTTTTTTATACGCAGCCTGTAAGAAAACATATAATATTTTAATTTAGATGAACATCATAGAAAGTTTTTGTAATTGGATTTGAGAATGTCGTGGACTAGTAGTTATTTAGTAGAGCATCGTCGTGTTAATTCAAGAATTTAAATTCCATCAAAAATAATGTGTATAGTATAATTATAATTAATAATCATTATCTATAAATATAAATACGGTACATAGACTAAAATAACATTTTTAACAATTTTCGCAAATCGTGGGTCACTCTTTAGTTTACCTATCGAGGTAAAAAAATCATATTGTATTGTAATTGTAATTATATAAGTATATATATATATCGTTATATTTTTTTCACACGTGGTGGAATGCCATATAAGCAGACGGGTCTCCTAGTGATCAGCATCATACACATCACGTTATCATATTACGCCCCTGTTACCCTTCATTCATTGAATTTTGGAGAACTAAGGTATCAAGCCGTAACCTGTAATTTCAAAGTCATATCTCACCCTACAATACAGCTTATTAAATCAAGCTGCTTGGCGGCATGAGATCGCATCTATTATAAATATAAACTCAGCCACAATTTTTTTGGTCGGTCATATTTTTTACCCCGTGACAATTCATCCAGGGCCATCTACTCTCAAGCTACGTATAGCTTGTGTTATAGGTAGTAAATATTAGGAAACGCCCAGACCAGTCATATTCTTCAAGGGTTCTACAAATGTTTGTACTGTGTGAGAAATCAAACCCGCGGCTTTCGGAAGAAAGACAGTCTGATTAACCGCTAGTCATCCGAGCCCACAAGACAAAACTATTACCTCTTAGGCGTATTTCAGCGAAGTAAACCACTAGGGGATGACGCTCTCAACTTCTTTCTTGCTCTTACCTTTTACAAATTTTCAATAATATGCTACTCTTGAACACGAAGACAAAGAAAATTAAGACTCCAATAAGAACATTGTAAGCGTCAACTATATGTTCAAACCATTGTGGCAGGAGGTTCTTATAGGCGCCCAGAACTTCAAATATCCAGTTTATTCCCATCACTACAGACAATTTAAGGTACAGCGCGAAACTGAATTAAAAAAAGAACAATAAACATTTACAAATACATTAATACACATTAATAAATTCCTAAGTACATTAGCATTAGTATTCCATATTTCTTTTAGTCTATTTGTTGCCTTTTCACGACTAAACAGCTGAACCGATCTTAATATCACGAAGACGAAAAAACGGAACCTATCTCATTGAAAACAGACGAAGTTGCTTGTAACAGCTAGTATTCCCTCACAAACATTCTTATTTCTCAATAAGAAATTTTGTAAGGGAATATTTATATTGGATTGCTTTTAATTCCTTTCATGCTATTCACAGAATAAAATTGTAATGTCATCCAAAATGTTATACGGTATAGTCTGTATTTATGAACACCTGCATCACCAGGGGTATTGTAAGTGTGTTGCCGTTTAAGAAGGAATAAGCTCTTTTCTTAAAGGTTTCAGTATCGTATCGGTTACGTAATACCATTGCTGGAAGGTGATTCCACAAGGTGGGTATGCGTTTCAAAATTTTGTAGGTAAAAACATGTTCATCGGGTCCTTTAGTCCATACTTAAAATTATGAATGCCAAATTTAGCTGTCTATCTGTTTGTCTTTTCATGACTAATTGGCTGAACGGATATCTGTAAGTGGGGTGAAGTAAGATATGAAAATGTATGCAAACGAAGACGTGGATATATGATAGTAGTTTATAAAAATGGTTCGCATAAACGTTTATTTTGTATAACTTACCGGTTCTCATTCTTTTTATTGTTCTTAGTAATATTTTTGTCAAATCGTGATAAGTCTCTCCTTACACGCCACATGTTGAAGGCGGTCAAACCAAACAGTAGTATATTGACTAGCAATATAACTAGAATTGGTGCCAATAAGTAAGTCATTCTGCTATTATCTAGAAATTGTAAAATACAGTGACGTTAATTACTAAGTCATCATCATCATCATCGCAGCCCGGAAGACGTCCACTGCTGGATATAGGTCTCCCCCAAAGGCCTTCCCACACTGCGTCTTCCGGTCCGTGGTCGCCACTCGAGGACTTTACTGCCCCAAAGGCCATCTGTCCTACGAGCTATGTGCACTGCCCATTGCCACTTCGGAGTCGCAATTCTTCGGGCTATGTCGGTCACTCTGGTTCTTCTGCGGATCTCCTCATTTCTGATTCGATAACGCAGAGTAACTCCGAGCATAGCCCTCTGAGTGACTCTGAGCTTGTTCATGAGACCCATAGTTAGCGACCACGTCTCTGTGCCGTAAGTCATCACATATTATATAGTATGATTTATTGATTAACGACTACAAAAATTAATTCATCGATATATGAAAGATATGAGAATAATAATTACTAGGGACCTTTATCAACGTAATTCCCCAAAAGAGATTTTTTTATATATATGTCTGTTAGTCAGTATGTTTGTACGCACTAATTTCCACTGAATGTGGGTGCAGTTTGTATTATTATGTTGCAGTAAATTTTACTTAATGTTTCCTCTTTTTCTTAGCTGGAGGCATTCCCACGCTGTGTATTCCGGTCCGTTGTCTATACTCAAGGACTTTACTGCCCCAGAGGTTCATTCAAATTCAAAATATCATTTATTCATGTAGGACATTTCAGCCGCTTATGAACGTCAAGTTTTTACATTAGATTTTTTTTTCCCTACCGTCCAGTTCGGTATATAGATCCAATTGAGAAGAACTGGCAAGAAACTCAATTGAATTACTTTTTTTTTTAATCCAGTTTATTAAATTCATAAAATGTTCATTCATGTAGGTCCGTAACAGACACCCATGACAAGTCTAATTATAATCAATATATATTGTATATAAAAGATAGTGTAACAATACACAACTACTTAGATAACATAATAGAATAACTTACACATCCAGAAACAAATCTTAGCCTAGTCTTACATCACAAAGACAATAAACAAAACAAATAAAATAAACAATAAATTAAATTGTGGCAGGCTGTGCTTCATTGCATCCAGTTAGACATTAGAATCTAATACAATAATAATTAGTAACAAACATAATAAAATAAGCTTTTTAATCTTTTTACCTCATGATTATAATTAAATTATTCATATCTACATAATGAAACACATCTTTTGTCCAATAAACAGATAATTAATATTTGCAAGTCATTTATAACTATTAATTTCAATAAATTATAATTATTATATTTTTGCTAACAAACAGAATTAATTCTAAAAGTCAGTAAATCTATTAATATATTTCTATATTTCCTAGGCATATGACATATATTCTATTTAAATAAAAACCTTTTATAAATTTATTAATATCAAAAAAACTGATAACATCATTATTGTAATATGTCATATTATATATTAAATTGTTCAATTTATGAATATAATTATTTTGCTCCGCCGTAAAGTAAACAGAATTGCACAAAATATTATATTTTTTACAGTAAGACTTAAAAGTATTTCAAAGGATTTATTTATTTGTTTTTTGTGTACTCCCAGACTATTTCCAACTAATATTATAATTGTTGTATTTATGGTAAATGACATTTCTAAAATTTTATTTATAACTTGAGTGAAAGTGGCACCCGGCATGCAATAATTAATAACTTTTTGGTTTAATTTGTAGTTTAAGTAAGTACCCACACCTTTTCCAACTTTATCTGAAAATACTATAACACTATCTTGGGATACTTCAGAATTTCGTAAAGTTGAAATTTTATTCTCTGTTATAATTGGAGAAAGTGGAACCGACTTACAATTAGAAGGTAAAGGTAACTTACTACAAGTGTAGTCGTTATTTACAAGTGACTTGTGTCTTTCTTCACTACATGTACACATATCAACGAGTTTATTTGCAGCCAATATATGTTCTGCTATTTGCTTTTTTGATATTTCATATTTCAGCAATGTTTCGTGAAGACTTTTTTGAAGTCGGGTAATCTCTAATTGCATGTTACCTACTTCAGCATCATATAACTGCATATTATTCCTATATATATCAATTTGCTCATATAAACTTCGATTGTCAGATTTAATTTTTAGCACATTACGATGATACTTCTTAATGTTTATTAATTTTTGCGTCTTTCTTATATATCTACTGATTTTAATATATTTCTTTATTTTATTTTTACTTAAACATATTTTGTTCCTGTCGTTATTTTTATTTAAATTATTTTGTAGACTATCCCTGATGGTGTGTAACTCATAATTACTTGCTAATAATTCATCGTAGAGGTTATTTGTTTTATTTCTTAGGGAATATTGTCTACTCGCTTCATAATGATTAATTATATTGTTCGCCTTATACAGTTCAATTTCTAAGTCTGTGATACGATCCAATGCCTCTTGATGTGTATCACTACACTGTTTGAATGACTCCACAATATTACAAAGTTCTTGTTTTAAATTAGTATTCTTTTGAATGACGCTTTTTATTTCCTCCTCACTGTCCTCACGTTCGTGCATTAGTTGGTCAGAAAGTTGCTTCAATGACTTAACTTCTTCAAGAGCTTCCCTCAATCTCGCTTCCATTGCCTGTGCAGTAGCCCTGCGGGTCGTGGTACCCATGGTTATCAGTTCAGTTCAGGCTTGTAATTTACTTGAGGAGCAAATATAATATTTATATAACAGAGGGTACTTTGAAAAAACAATTGTTGAAACCGTTAACAGCTGATTATACTATTTATATTAACTTGTGTTTTTATTAAAACTTGCTATTTTCTGTTGCTTTACATGCGATTCCAATAGATGCATATATTACACTTATCAAATAAACACGTATGAAAAAATATTTGGAAGTTATTAAGTCTGTACTAATTACTTCAATTCTCACAAGATCACTAATTATTTAAACATAACACTTTATTATTGCACATATTTTGTTTAATTTCATGTATTTATTTATTAATTTCATTAATTGCAAACTAAGTTATTTTATATCACTAATTTTTGTACCGGTCAATATAGACACGACCGCACGCTACGACGTTGACGTCAAAAAAAAAAGTCATTACATTATCGACCATAAAAAATAACTTACCAGAAAACGAACAAGTGCCAAACGACGGTTTAATAAAATTCGGTAGATGCTTTAAATCTTTGTTATCAATTACAACTTCGATCACTACCAGAATGGCGGGAAGAACCCATGCGTACAATCCGTAACACATGAACTTGTGACGTATACCATGACGGTTGATCCTGCGACCATAGTGGGTACCTCTGTAAAAAAATGACTTTTATTGTTTATTGTACATACACATAGGAAAAACAATAGTGATACAATAAATATAATTTACAAGGGCGAGGTTATCTCTAAAAAGAGATTTCTTTCAGTAAACCTAGAAAATGTTATAGGATAGTGTGTTAGCTAAATCAGCTATACATAGGTGTACGAAGAAACGTGTGCTTTTAATAAAAAAAGGTTTTTTTAAATCAAATATCGGTGTACGGCGGCTGTACACCAGTGGAAAATAAAAAGATAATAATAATAATCTCAGGACAATTCACACAACGCCATCTAAACTTTAGCTAGCTTAACTTGGGTCAAGTTAAGCCAGCTAAAGCTTGTGTTGCCGTCGGAGCTGGGGTAGAATGCACTTGCGAATCCCCTGGCTCCGGCATAGGCGCTCGTAGGTACACCGTGTGGTTTTTTAGTGGGTACAAGTCCCACACACCACCTCGCCATCCCTCCGGCGGGGTGACGGTCTTTTGAAGATTTTTCCACACGTTAAAAAAAAAAAAAAAAGCTAAAGCTTGTGTTGTGGGCGCTAGATAGCTGACACCAATACATAGATATATTTTTTTCGTAAATACATACATATTATACACAGAAAATACCCAGACCGACACAAATAATTATACCCGTGAATACAAATGTTTTTGCCGTGCGGGGAATCGAACCCGCGACCATCGGAAGTAAGGGTTTCGCTAGAGACTACAGCATGAGGTTTTTCAAGAAGGGTGAAGCCGATACAGTTAAGCGTGGAGTGTTGAAATATTCAGTAATGAAAATCGATTGAAGTTTACAGCTGTCCGTGTCGCTTGCGCATATATAGCGTGAGGATAGTGGACGCGTTCGCGTGCGGTGCGAGGGAAGTGATAACTGCTATAGGTGTCGCTATTTACGCACAAGCGGTGGGATCAATTTAATTATCAAATAAGTAGGTATACAGGTATGTAACATTAAGTTTTACAGATACACCCTACAAACGAACAATATATTTTACCAGTGGAGCATCAATTTATACATATATATAGTAAAAGGTAAGTATGGATTTATATATACATTATGGTTATTTCTATATGTTTTATGTGTTTTTATTTTTATTAATATTTTAGTTTTATTTTACAGGTCCGGTTCGCAGTCGCGAGGCACGTCGGCTACAAAGGGTATATTAAGGTTTCATAAGGGTCGGCATAACCACGTGACGCCCTGGTGTTTCAAGCGTTCATAGGCTACGGTAACCGTTTACCATCAGGTGGGCCGTAGGCTGATTGCCCTGGCGTGGTAAAAAAAATCATTTGACAATATGAATATGAACTTACCTGAATGTCCACCAAATATCAAAAGACATTACGTTCATCCACATGAAACTGCTTATTATGCCAAAGTTCACTAATGGAGCTGAAATTTATATAAATATTAGTATGTACATGCCTTAAATACTATATGTGTATAATAAGTTCTGTTTCTATTTATTGGCAAGAAAGACCAATTTTTTCACGGTATATATTTTACTAGCAGCCCACCCGGTTTTACACGGCTATTTAATTGTGTCAGTTGTTTAGTACTCATAACATAAGCTCTGCTCAGCATTATTAGAACTTCATGGCGCTATGTGAAATGTCATGGATTATTAACAAAATATATATAAATTGATGAATAATATATATATTAAGAATGGAAGAGACCATTAGTCTTAGTTAGTTTTGTAAGTGGCAGAGCACGACCACACGTGGTTGTTCAGCTCGATTGGGCCGCTCGAACCGGGAAATACCACACCTCGGCAGAAAACCGGCGTTAAGCGTTATCGCGTTTCGCATGGTGATCTGTAGGTTCCGGACGCCCCTACCCCTTCCCCTATCTCTTTCCTACTTCCTTCCCCTACCCACCCCTTTCTTACATAACATGGCAGCTGAATACAGGAGATTTTTACCCCAGGGTGGTACCAGTAACCATGTTACTGGAGAACCCACCCCTGAGAGATCACACTCAGGCTACCCTGAGTATTCTGGGGTGGGCAATACTCCGCTCAATTTGGCCAAAAGGAAACCGAGCAAATCTCCATCGGCGTTTCCCTTGCTCATAGTCAGTTTTTGCAACATTAGGGGAATTCATTCCAATCTCAACGCCGTCCACCACCACCTAGAGACGGCGAGGCCGGCTTTGCTCTTCCTTACGTAGACGCAAATATCCTGTCCCGACGATATTTCGTACCTGACCTACCCTGGATATAAATTGGAACACCATTTTATTCCACGGGCCGGTGTGTGCGCTTATGTCAGAGAGGATATTTGCTGTCGCCGTCTTGGTACACTTGAAGGTACTGACCTGTCCATTTTATGGTTGCGTATAGATTGCGATGAACACCCCCGCATCTGTGTATGCTTATACAGGTCCCATAGCGGTAACACCGAAACTGCCGACTCATTGAACACGTCGAAATGGCTACAGATTTTTTAGTCCAACAGATTCCCTCCGCTGAGGTCGTGATTCTAGGAGACTTTAACGCCCATCACGCTGAATGGTTCACGTACCATCGACTATGCGGGGAGATCTGTTCATGGCTTTGCTATGGCGTATGGTTTGACGCAACTGGTATCCTCGCCTACGCGAATTCCTGATGTTGTTGACCATATATGTACCTTCACTGTTGGACTTTCTGCTGACTTCTCATCCGGACGAATATCAGATCTCTGTGGAAGCCCCACTGGGATCCTCTGGTCACTCTTTGCCGCGATCTACTGATCGACGTCGTGTTTAAGTCGGCAGATTGGGATGAGATGCGAAGTTTTTTGCATCTTACCCATGGGAGCGAGTTTGCTTCACACTGGACGATCCTTATGTAATAACTGAATCTGTCACCGATGTAGTACTTCAGGGAATAGAGATGTTTATTCATTCATATTTTAATTCCCAGGTACCTCTCGGTGGTAAATCTCAATCCTGGTAAAGCGGATCTTGTAGATCGGCATCTCGCCATAAGCAGGAATGTTTCCGTGCCTGGATTGCAGTGAAGTCGAGTGATTCAGATACGAGTGCCCATAAAAGGAAGTATAACTCCGCTTCTAGGTCCTTCAAAAGAGTTATAGCCACAGCAAAGGAGAGGAACACATCAGCAGAATTGGTAGGAGACTGAACAGTCTTCCTTCTGGATCTCGGGCTTTTTGGTCTCTTGCTAAAGCTGCTCAGGGAAATTTCTGTCAGCCATCTTTTCCACCACTGCGCAGAGAGGATAACTCGTTGGTCCAACATGCTAAAGAGAAGGCCGATCTCCTTGGGTCTCTTTTTGCATCCAACTCGACACTGGATGATAGGGAGCAATCACCGCCGGTCATCTCGCGGTGTGAGACTTTTATGCCAGAGGTAAAGTTTACCCAAAAGCTGATACATAAATCTCTTTTCTTCCTAGATATCCACAAGTCGAGTGGCCCTGACGGTATTCCTGCTATTGTGCTCAGGACGTGTGCACCTAAGTTGGCTCCGGTACTAACGCGTCTTTTCCGGTACTGCTACTCTACAGGTGTAGTCCCGAAACTTTGGAAGACGGCTTTGGTTCATCCGATCCCTAAGAAGGGAAATCGCTTGGATCCGGCTAACTATAGGCCCATAGCCATCACCTCCTTATTCTCAAAGACCATGTAGTCGATTGTCAACCGTCAACTCCTACGATACCTAGAAGGGAACCAGTTGATTTCTGATCGTCAGTATGGCTTTCGCTAGGGTCGGTCAGCTGGTGATCTTCTAGTGTATTGGACACATCGGTGGGCAAAGGCTATTGAGAGTAAGAGGGAGGCCCTATCTGTTAGTCTGGATATTGCGAAGGCCTTTGATCGGGTTTGGCACAAAGCTCTTCTTTCAAAGCTACCATCCTTCGGGTGTGTTCCACAAGGCTGTGTGCTATCCGACTCTGTTCCTTCTGCATATCAATGACATGTTACAAATCAACAACATTCATTGCTATGTGGACAGTACCGGAGATGCCTTGTACAGCGGCCATGCTCATATGTCGCAGGCAAAAGTTATAGAGTATCGGAACAAACTTGTGTCTGAAATCGAAACTTCACTCCATCAAGTTTCGATTTGGGGTCAGGAAAATTGTGTTCAATTCAACCCCAAGAAGACACAAGTTTGAGCGTTTACCGCTAAAAAGAATCCATTTATCGTATCTCCTTAGTTTCAAGACACTCTCCTTGATGTGAAGCCAAATCTCGAGGTCCTTGGCGTTGATATATCCAGTGACGATCAGTTTTGCGGTCATTTGGAGGACAAGGCTAAAATAGCCTCAAAAAAGCTTGTTGTGCTCAGTAAAGTGAGACGATAGTTCACGGCGACCCATCGCTTGCAATTATACAAGGCGCAGATCCGGCCGCATATGGAATACTGTTCTCATCTCCGGATGGGAGCACCACAATACCAGCTACTTCCATTTGACCGCAGCCAGAATCATTGGTAATCAACGTCTATGTGACAGACTCGACTCATTGGCTTTGCGGCGAGATATTGCATCTCTGTGCATTTTCTACCGCATATATCACGAGGAGTGTTCTGAGGAATTGTTCGGATTAATACCAGCTGCTGAGTTTCACCACCGTACCACCCGCCAGAAACTGAAATACCATCCTGATTATCTGGATGAATGACGGTCTTGCACAGTGCGGTTTTCTAGAAACTTTTTGCCATGCACAACCACATTGTGGAATCACCTTCCTGCAGTGGTATTTCCGAACCGATACGATATTGAAACCCTCAAGAAAAGAGCTTATTCCTTTTTAAAAGGCCGACAACGTACTTGCAATTCCCCTGGTGTTGCGGGTGCTCATGGGCGGCGGTAATCACTTACCATCAGGTGAGCCGCATGCTCGTTTGTCCCGTGTTATAAAAAAAATCATCTTCAATCACTATTCAAAAGGAAGATTTATATATATAATACTTGTGTGTTACAGTATAAAACAAGGCAATAAATTCAAGGCTTTGTAATGCATCCGTCCGAATTCGAGATGGGTTGCTAGTACTATATGATACAACGTCTAGTACATTTTGAAACGAGTACTTATATATTTGTAATTACTTATAACAAGGCAAACGGTGTTGTCGAATATATTTTCCCTTAGGCCTAGTGATTTGGTGGCCTGTAACAGAAATGCTCCTGAAAATGTGGCCATATACGCAATCATCACGTAACCAAATAAATTCTGTAGCTCCTTTAACAGCCCATAGACAACTATCACCAATATCATGAAGAAACTGGATATCAGCATACCTGAAAGAGATTTTATTTTGAAATAATATAATAAAAATATATATTTTTGTGTTTTTAAAATAACCTTATCACTTTTAATAGTTCAAATTCTCAGACCTAATGATTATGCACACAAAACTTCATAAGAAACAAAACTCTAATATATTTTATTCATAAGTCTCCCTTTATATGATTACAATATTAGAGAAACAAGATATGCAGTGTAAAACATAAAATTGTATTCTGTTTAAACAACCGTTACTAAGTAACTGACAATTTATTTCTTTTTCGGTATATTAGATTATAAACCTCAATATCGCCCCTTAATCTTATATACGAAATATATACAATTATTTGGACAACCCTAAGTCCTTAACAAATTTCTCATGTTTAACTATACAAAGAGGCTTAGTTAAAAGGTCTGCAATCATTTGGTCCGTTGGCAAGAAATTAATTTTTATATGACCATTGCCTACCGCCTCCTGGACGAAATGATGACGCATGTCTATATGCTTAGTCCTAGCATGGAACATACTATTTTCAGTTAGTTTTATTGTAGACTGATTATCATTAAATATTATATTATTAATTTGACTTGCTATTAAACATTCATTGAGAAAAGTTTTAATTAACATTGCCTTTTTACAAGCATCTGAGACTGACATATACTCCGCCTCGGTACTAGATAAAGCGACAGTCCGCTGTTTTCTTTCTACTTTCCCAACAAGTAATAGATTCCCCAATTTTGAAAACATAGCCTGTATACAACCTACGATCTATATGATTTGATCCCCAGTCTGCATCCGCAAATCCCGTCACAGTCAAACCAGTTTTTCCATAAGTAATACAGTAATCTATTGTACCCTTAAGATAGCATAATACGCGTTTAGCTGCTCTCCAGTGTATCTCAGAAAAACAGTTATTAAATTGACTTAATACACTTACTGCGTGACAAATATCGGGACGCGAACATACAGCTATATACATAAGACAGCCAATTAACTCACGATACTCCAAGTTGTCATCCTTCTTTTCTGACTTAAGTAGTTTCTCACATTGCATTGGAGTTTTCGCTGGCTTACAGTTCTGCATATTAAATTTTTCTAAAATCTTTTCTATATACGCACTTTGATTTAATGTAATCGTGCCATTCACTTTCTTTATTCTTAATCCTAATACTTTTTCTACTGGACCAAGATCTTTCATGATGAATTCTTTCATTATCATACTTTTAGTTTTATTTTTCTCTTCTTTACAGTTACTCATAAGTATCACATCATCTACATATAGAGCAATTATCACCAGCTTATCATCATTTTTCTTTACATAAACACATGGCTCGGAAAATAATCTCTTGAACTTTATTTTATTTACTAGAACATTGTTTATTTTCTCATTCCATGATTTCGGTGCTTGCTTTAATCCATATACAGACTTTCGTAGACGATATACTTTATTTTCACCTTTACCTTCATGAAAACCTTCAGGTATTTCCATGTATATAGTTTCTTTCAAATCACCATTTAAAAATGCAGTTTTTACATCCATGTGCTCAATATCCATATCGTATTCTGCAGATAGAGCTAACAGCATTCTTAATGTTTCATATCTCACGACTGGTGAATATGTTTCAAAGTAGTCTACTCCGTACTTCTGTGTAAACCCTTTTGCAACTAATCGTGCTTTATACTGTATTATCTCTCCATTCAAACCTCTTTTCTTCTTGAAAATCCACTTAGTTTTTATTGGTTTCACTCCTTTCGGTAAATCAGTTACAGTAAAGCATTGGTTGTCAATAAAGGATTGATACTCATCATTCATTGCAATACGCCATTGCTCTGCTTCAGAACTGCTTAATGCTTCCTTAACAGTTTTAGGCTCAACCGCTTCATAGGATTCTCCAAGTAAAAATGCAGAGAGAAATGAGTTGTCAGCTTGACCAGCTCTAGAATCATCAGATTCAAAGGACATATCAGGTACATAGGTTTCATCTAATGAACGGTCTTCGACGGATTCACTAGTTGAAGGTTCACTAATTTCATTACTTTCAGAAGTATTAGAAATTTGATCTACATTGTTATCATTATTTGAAATATCAAAGGATACTGATGGAGAAACAGGATTTATGTTCAAATTTGATGAAGTTACATTTAAATCCTTGAGAAACTTATTTTCTAAAAATGTTACATTTCTAGAAACAGTCAGCTTTTGACGTATAGGATCCACAAGCCTATACCCCTTAGTGTTTTCACAATAGCCAACAAAAATGTACTTTTTGCATTTCGGATCAAGTTTCTTTCTATTATTTTGTACTGAGTAAGCTACACATCCAAAGACTCTTAAGTTAGACAGATTTACCTTTTGTCCAGAGTAACGTTCTTCTGGAGTAAAACCTCTGACGGCCTTTGTAGGAGAACGATTTTTAACATACACAGCAGTACATACTGCTTCAGCCCAGAATTTTTGTTTAAGACCGGCTTCGAGTAACATACAGCGCACCGCCTCTATAATAGTTCGGTTCGTGCGTTCTGCGACTCCATTCTGCTGTGGACAGTAAGGGACTGTAGTTTGGTGTTTAATACCACACTCACTCAAATATCGTTGTTGCCGATGGCAACCTTTTTGATAGTTTTTATGTTTTTTTATATATATTTGAATTTTATATTTTGACGTTCTGTTTTTATATACTATTTGTTTTCTTATGCCATATTGTCTTTATATTTTTGCTAGCGAGCTGATTACACCTATTTTACCTCACCTAAGAACGTGTCTCATTTTTAACCAGCCTTAATACAGTCCATCCTTCCTTCCGTAACAATCGTTTAAATCGAGTATTCATGTACTCGCCTCCATTATCGCTTCTCAATATTTTAATCTTTTTATTTGTTTCATTTTCTACCTGAGCTTTAAATTTCATAAAACACTCAAAAACTTTGTCTTTAGAATCAATACAAAAACAAAAAGTTTTTCTAGAAAAGTCATCAATAAAAGTTAATAAATATTTTGCACCACCAAAAGAGTTCACCTGCATAGGACCACATAGATCCGTGTGTACTAAACCCAACACAACATTAGCTCGTGTAAACGATTTCTTAGGGAAAGGTAGTTTAGTAGCCTTACCTTCTATACAGGAGATGCATTGTTCATATGACGATACATTATAGTCAATGCCAGTTGCCATACCATTCTTGAGTAAACTCATGCTGCGACTATTTAAATGTCCCAAACGTCGATGCCAGATACCTTGACTCGCTTGGTTTACGTGAGATTGAACTTCATTTTTAATATTTGAAGATTTACTCACAGACATGACTGTACTTTTACGCGATCAACGGAATTTACATATGCAGACCCAGTTTGTAATTTATATAAACCAGAATTTATATATTTTACATAAATCCAATTCAAAAATTACACGATATTCTCGCTGTGTCAAAACATTGACAGACATTAAATTACATGACAAGTTAGGAATATAAAACACATCACATAGAGTTTTTATACCATCCTTAACTAAAATATCTGTATCACCTCGACCGACACAATTTATTTTATCTCCGTTCGCTACTGTCACATATAAACTATTATCCTCGACGTAATTTTTCAAAATTTGCCGATTGTTGCACATGTGACAAGACGCACCAGAATCGACATACCAACCCTCAAAATTCACATCTGCTGATAGGACCGACAACATTATTGCACTCTTGGCTGCACCAGAGCTGCTGCTCGACTTTGGTTGCTTATCTTTAGCTGATATTTTCTTACGGCAGTCCTTGGCATAGTGACCAACCTTCTTACATTTGTAGCATATAGGACGTTTTGAAATTGCCAGAACTTTCTCCTCAGGGCACTCGGAGCTTGTTGTACCATCTCGTCTCTGTGATTCTTGTAGCAATTTATTTTTAACGAGATCACTAGACAGATTTAAGTTTGCATTTTCTAGTGTCATTATGAGTGGGTCGAAATCCTTCGGGAGTCCACTAAGCATTATGACTGCGACAAAATCATCATCGAGAGGAGCATTCATGTCTTGGAGTTGTTGAGCGATATCCATAATTTTTGTGAGATATCCATCCATATCCTGAAATTGTTCAAGTTTCAAAGAGAATAATATTCTAAGAAGACCTAACCTTCTACAGAGACCCTTGTCTTCAAATGCACGTTGCAAATTTCTCCACGCTTCAAATGCTGTTTCACAGTTTCTAACATTTGAATAGACGGCAGGAAGTACGTTTAAGCATATCTTTGCTAATGCTTTTTCTTGCTTTTTCCTATCCATGCATTCGGGTTCTCCATTTTTAGTAGCAACAACGCAATCGTACAAATCTTCATGTATGAGTGTCATTTTCATCTGGAATTTCCAATTGCCGTAATTTGCCATTCCCGACAATTTATCCATAGTTAACGATGAAGAAGTCATTTTGAAGAGTATTTGTGTGTATGAATCGTAATTGTTACCGCTCTGCTACCATATTAGAGAAACAAGATATGCAGTGTAAAACATAAAATTGTATTCTGTTTAAACAACCGTTACTAAGTAACTGACAATTTATTTCTTTTTCGGTATATTAGATTATAAACCTCAATATACAATAATTACATAAAAAAAATATAATAGAAATGTTTAAACTGCTACTTGGACCGGAACTAAATCTAATATATTATATAAAATTCTCGTGTCACAAAACTCCGAAACGGAGTTTTTGAACAGTTTAAACATGTAATTATTATAATGATATAAAGGGAGACGTATGAATAAGAATCTACGCTCAGATGCACTGGTCAGCCATTTTGCCAACCAGTTTGCCTAATGTGCTGACTCCAAATAATGGGATAAAATCATGATATACTTACCAACAGCAACTAAAACATCTTTAGTATCGGTTAGATTTTCATCTTCTTTTATAAATCTTATAACTGCGTAAGAGTGTGCCGTGTCATTTACATACTTAACATAAAAAATAAGTGTAAAATTGTAATTGTCTATCACGCGGAACCGTGTTCCTGTGTTTGGACTATCGAGCAACATTGAACCGTTCTGAAAAGTTACAGTTGTTTTACTTAAAAATTCAATCCAGCAACGCAAGGTGCTTATAGGACTTCGAACAATACGTGTTACGAAACACAACAGCGGACTGCTTTCAGAGGTAGATTTTTTACAAGGCCATCTGCGTGAATACCTATTAGGTACTGACAAATTTCAGACGGTAAACAGCTGTATTTTGGTTAAACGATGAAATATGACAGCTTAGTAGTCCTGAATGGCAAAATACAATGTGATACCAAGGACGTTACATGTAGCTTTTATGTTTGTTATATTGTTTGCAGCCTCGTATTTTCATTGTTTACTAACTTCATCATCTTTATCATAATATTAATAATCATCATAATCAGGCCCTGAACTATCATGATTGAATCCAAATTGTGGTCCTTTCTGAAGGATAACAATTTTGCCTTCCTCTTGACTAATTCAATTGTTTATTCATTAACTAGTAAATCACTTTGGTATATTTTTATAGTATATATTTGAAAAAATTAAAAATAATATTAAATTCAATATTAAATAATATTGATTCATATAGGACTTTTCAGCCTATAATGCTTGTCTTATTAGTACCTAGGTCTAACTAACTAATTTCATTTGTTCTCAACTGCCAGGATACTCAACTGGTACATTTTAGTATAATTTTTTAAATAATTAAATTGATTAGAAAAACAGCGTATATAGTAAAACATCAAAAAACTCTTATCAGAACTACTACCACCATACTAGGTCAACAATATGGCTTTCTTGTTTTAAAAATTATTAGTAATATATCAGCAAAAAATAATCGATGCGTAAAAATACTTTATATGAAGGCACTCTGTCACTCTGCACTCGGCCTCATACCCTCAGATCGATCCCCGTCCAATGCAAATGGGGGGTCGAAATTGCGACAGCCTGAACCGCGAGCCCTTTGAAACCCTAGCGGTGCCTTCAGACTAAAGTCGTCGGAAATTGGCCTTCAGCCGCACCATAAGTTTGCCGCCTGTTTGCCGTACCATCTGCACTCGCCTCCTATCGTACAGTGAAGCTGTAAAGGCCAGCTGCGGCCAACAACAATAGAAGAGTTCCAAAAAGAAGAGTATATACAATGTCAAGATGTCAGGTGCAATAAGTTCGATTTATAAATTCATCTGCCAAGTTTGAATTTATTTGCTGTCCGTAGTATGGGTTACTACCACCCCTCCCACCCTCTCTGGATCAGAGGCTGTCTGTTCAAGCATGGGGTTATCGTCATTCCAATTACATAAAAACTTCTATTGAATATAGGTTTGAAGGTTTAATAAATAAACTTACCTCTAAGAAATAAGGAATATGTTCATCGTAATCCAGTCTAGTCGGATTTGAAAAACACTGTTTAGTTACATTATTGTTCTCCAATCTCACAAAATTAAAACTTTCTTCAAATGTTTTGTTGCTTTTTTCCATTTTATTTTGTTTATAATTACTTTTATATACATCTTGAAGTCTCAACAATTGAATATCAGTCGTATTTGCAAGGACCGATTTGAAAGATTTATATTTACGAGATTTATTATTATTGGATACAATAATGCAGGGAAAGGTCCCTTCACTATTCCTTCTTTGCGTTATGATGCATGGTTTTATTTTGCAATATTCTTTATCTATTACTGTATCATTGCTGTCTATAAACCTTAGATCATCACAATTTATCTCTTCAGATATAACAGAGTTTAGAAATAAAAACAATATATAGTATTTTAAAACGCCCATTGCACAATTATGTCCGTTGTATCGGCTGCTTAGTTCTATACAAAATAAAATTAGTCATTATTTGTAGTATGTACTCGAATGAGGAAAAACGTTGACTTTATGTATATTGCTTCATTTATGTATTGTTTAGTAGATTTTATTTGTATTAATTAATATATATTATGTAGACATAAATAATAACCGTTCGGGAATACATCCGTTTTGATAATATGCATAATATTATATCGTGTATGAATGTAAATATTTTTACATTTAATACCTATTGGATGAATACAGCATGATATGAGAATATGTATTAATTTTATAATCGGGCATGTACCTATAGAAATAGAAATAGAAATTTTGAATAGTCAAGTTTTTTTTTATTCTACCGCTTATTCGGAATGCAGATTCATCACAAGATGAATAAGTAAGAAACTTGTGTGTTGCTCTTTTAAATAAATATTGATTTACTTATATTTAATTAACAACAAGGATTAGGCATGCGACAATCAACATAGAAACCGCTACGCACTCTCTCTGCTCAATCGGATAACACTGTCAGCGCTATGAATTTTAAGTTAGATATTTTTTACAAAAACGTTATTATAATTTACAAATTCTTCAATTTTGTAATAAGCTTTTTCACAAAGAAAATATTTTATGACAAAATGTGTCATAAAATATTTTCTTTGTTGAATTGAATTTTTTTTTCTGGCAAATTATGATAGAGATACTACAGACTAATATGACCAAATGCGTACGAGAATTTTTATTATTTTTCTTAGAATACTGTTTTTTATTACTGTGTATTTTAATGGTAGGTATATAGAGGATCCTTGATTACGCAACGCGGTGTTCGTTTCCCTTCAATTGTTACCAATAAATTATATCGGATGACCATATTTGCTGTTTAGAGAAAATTGACGCTATAGATACACAGTTATAATATTATTACAACCAGTAGCTAATAAGTGATGTGAATTTTCTTTGATCCAATTAAAAATCAGTAAAAAAAGTAAAAAGGTAGTGTAAGTCTTCTTGTTATCACAAGCAAACTGACAATCTATAGCTTTATGATATACGGCAAAGAATAACATTTGATACATTTTGGCTAATTAACAAAAAAATATAATCTAGAAAACGTATCATATTTTTTACTAAAAAAAAATTAATATCAAACGAATCGCTATTATGTAATATAATAAAAACCAAAAAGCGTCACGGACGACCAAAAGTCTGTGAATTTCAGCAAAATAATAATAACAATTATTTATTCGTAATAATTCTTTGTTTTTTATATTTATATATCATGGCATTTTTTTGCGCGGTGATACAAGTATCATGCCGATATAAATAAAATATTGTAGGTATATGCAACTGAATCTACCTAGCAGTGCTGTACAAGATTGCAAATTCTAATATGCTAAAGTATTGTTTATAAGTTATATCAACAATACATAAGCGTATGCATAAATATTAAGTCTATTATATGCATTAATATAATATTTTATGTATAATACATATTTAATTATGAAAATATAATATAATCTGTCAAAAAATTCCGCTCTATCAAATCGCAGTGGGAATCTATATAAAAAACCGTGAAACAAATAAAAAAATACAAAAAAAGAATTCCCTAATATGCTTGACTGCCATCATCGTAGTATAATAAAAAAACTTAGACACCTATGAATGAATAAAATGTTATAAAATCTCGTATACTACATAGCTCGGTAACGAAGGCCAAACAAGAACCCTCGTACAGTTGTCATCCCTAGTTGGCAGTTGTTCATTATGTGCTTTATGTGCTCATTCCATCGTTAAAATAAGTAAATAATATTTAATAATACTATCATACTGTGATAAATATAGCGTTCTTTACTAATTATAGACAGTTGACTGTTGTTTCAATTTGTTACATTGATACTCTTGATCTGTACGTATTATATTTAACTGTTATTATTGAATTACCGTCTTTTTTAATGTTCCCTATATTTTTTAACTGAATGCGTCCGAAGAATAATGCTCAATATCGGAACCAATGGTTTAGAGCTTTACCGTAGTAACTTTATTGACAAACTTAGAATATGATAAAATATTATGGGACCTAAGTCCAGAAACCACGGCTTGAAACTAATTTAATGACATTGCTCTATTTTATACTCTTAAATATATCTATTTACATGTTCCTCTATATCAATCCGTTATTTCTATATTTACTAGTCAATAAAATATCTGACATTTGAATCTATTCGTTCTCGATTACGTTACATAAAATTAAATTGTATTGAAATCGATATTGAGATAAAACTTCATTGAATATCGGAAGCTAATAAAGTATAATATGTACTATCAATATTTAGTATATATAAATAGTAAACAACAGTAAAAAAATGGTGTTAAAGAAGAACAGATTTTTACTGTGTATAAATTGTTTATTATACTACATCTATCAGTATTAAGACATTCAACAAACAACGGAAATTCCTAGTAGATGATCAGATTAGAATCGAGTTGTGATTTTCTGATAAAAGACTCCTATAGATATCCAGATAATGTTATCACCATGAACAGTGACTTGGACAAAAAAGGGCACTATGCGAGTAGCTCGCAAAAGAAATGGACGAGTTGTGCGCATCTTTCTAATAATAATATATTTTTCTAATTTTAATTTAGATTATTTTTCTCACAGATTATTCTATCGAAATTGACAAATATTATGAAATATTACTTGTGAAACCTACTTACACAATATCAATTCTTTATTGCACTGCTTTATTCATTGTGTAAATATTATACAATGATATTCATTTATATAGATACCAGTTATTTATATTATATTTTCATTACGCTTTCCATAAATATTTACCGCACAGAGTATTTTAAAAGCTAATAATATAAGCGGCAAACGCAGCCTATAAACACGTGCAACGGCCAGAAAACCAGAAGACAATTAAATTTCGTTTAAATATGTGTGATTTATTAATATATATTCTATTGAATAATACTAAAAAATATTATAACATAAATGTTTTCTTAAAGATTTTAAAAACTGTTTGTGTTCTGATTTTAATCGTAGTAATAAATTATTCAAATGTAAATGTTATAAAGGACCTAAATTATTAAACGCTATCGGTAGGTGCATAATTTTCAGTACGGTCTGAATACAGATACCTATATAGGTAAATATAAACCATGCAGATGCGTAATATGGTCGATTCAATTGACGTCATGAAGTAGTACATACGATAAAAAAGTGAATTCATTCTGTAGCTACCTACCTTGTTATTTTTATTTTTGTTATATTTATATTAACATTTAATATCCTACAAAAAGTATATTTCAGTTTATGCTTAATGTTTATTCACTAATAGGACTAGATAATCAGCTGTATGCTTGCCGTAACAATTGTTTTCGCGAATGGTAGAAAAGAAAGACAGCCCGCGTTTTGCGTGACAGCCCGCGTATATACGAGTACAGCGTGGTTAATTACAGTCCTGTATTTATAGATAAAGAAAAAATCCCATTTTACAATGTTTAAATGTAATAATAATGGTATTATTTTCATAAAATTGTAGTCTAATTTTTGGTGATACAATATTTTTTAGTATTCTTCGTTGACATTTAAAAATACCATTGTGCTAGCGAGAATAGAATAGAATAGAATAGAAAGTCATTTATTCAAATAAACTTAATTTAAGCACTTTTGAATAGTCATAACAATTTGTTTTTTATCTACCACCCGTTCGGAAAGCTGTCTCATCACAAGAAGAACGAGCAAGAAACTTGATAATCCTTGTAAGTTTACATTTACAAGTCGAAACGTGTGAATACAAACTACCAACAAGCACTAATTTTCGGGTCAAATATAAATATGCAATAAGATTAAATCAGTCGTAGTGATAAGAGCAGACCAGTCCCCACGAGCAGCACTCGTTTCACGAGTATGACGGATGAGCCAGCCATCACTGCGCTCGACCATATTTTAGGGAGCCCAATGACCCGGCCCACCACGCCGCCACATGTCTGGACATTTTAGTGAGCATGACTACTCATTCCACACGACCACGTCACAGCTACAAAAATTACTATATGGTAGTTACAGTATTCGCACTTTACATAAGGATGCATGCGGCAATCAATACAAAAGGCGCTACGCTATCATATATCAAGAAAGCAGTATGAAAATTAAAATTATAACGTTGTCCGCAAATAAACTTATTCTTGCTATATATTGCTATCATCTATAAATTCATCTATTTTATAATAGGCTTTTTTACATAACATTTGTTTAATATAAGATTTGAATTGCCTCTCTGTAAGTTTTAGCGTAGACTCCAGTTTATTATAGAATCTTACGCAATTACCATAAAATGAATTACTAACTTTGTGTAGACGACATTTAGGTAAAATTAGCTTATTTTTATTGCGTAAGTTTCTACTTGTACAGTCTTTAAGTTTCTTGAAACTATCTAAGTTTTTCCTTGTATACATAATATTTTCATAAATGTACTGTGAGGCAACGGTTAGGATATTTGATTGTTTAAAGCATTGACGTAATGACTCTCTAGAACCCATACCATAAATAGAACGTATGGCTCTCTTTTGTAAAATAAATATAGTATTTAAATCGGCAGCTTTACCCCACAGCAGTATGTCATATGACATAATGCTATGGAAATAACTAAAATATACAAGTTTTGCCGTCGCCACGTCTGTTAATTGCCTTATCTTTCTAATTGCATAAGCAGCAGAACTAAGTCTATTGGCTAATTTTGAAATATGGGGCCCTCATTGTAACTTCGAGTCCACTGTTATTCCTAAAAATACTGTATCATATTCGAGTTGAACAAATCATTGTATTGTTTTATTACATTCATATCTACGATATGTACCTCTATTGTAAACCCATATATATCCACGGGTAGAGAGGCGTCTTCAAACCCTGGAATCGAAAATATGATGTCAGCTCAATAATGCGAATGGGAGAGTCGTGGTTTACAATCCAACTTTGACCACAATGTTTGTGAGTTCAAATCGTGACACCATAAAAAAAGTTATTTTATTTTCTTAACTTTCCGGCGATGACAATATTTATATTAAAAAACCAAACACCAAAAAATTATTATTTGGGTTTTATTATTATATATATTTTTTCATTATTTGGTCAAGGTCAGTATTTTACGCGCACGAAATCGCTGGTACAGCTATTTGAACTATAAAACAGTCAGCCAGTTTACATAGTAAAATAAAGTTGCTTGATATCACAATATTATGCTTCACTACCGTTGTGTACCATTGAAAAATAGAATGATAAACTATGTATAGGAATTTAAAGAACTTAACTATGTTCCCTTTTTTCGCGAAAATTGCTTTGATTTCATCCGTAAGTCTTTTTCACGGTGAAGACTGCGCGTCCGTCACAACGCGTCGACTCACACTAACATGGTAAGTCATTAAATTTCCGAACCTATATTTAAATATAATAAATATTCCGTGAATAATGAAAGAGATATTTCGGGCGCGAATGATAGCCGGTAGGGAGTCTAGGCAGAATTATGTCGATCATAAAGGTTACATATTACAAAAGGACTAAATAAAAAGTATCCGTAACTTGTCACATAATAGGTAGAATGTAGAGGAAACAACGTATGTATGAATCGGAACATCTGGCGTTCTTTACTCTCTGCCTACGCCAATGGGAGTATGTACCGTTGATATTTGAGACACTTAAAGTACTAGATATGTTTTGCATAGGTCTGTATCTAATATTTAAAATTATATTATTCAATTAACAATGGAAAACTAATAATAGTTTACCTACCATTGATATTTTCTGCAAAGTTTATGGAATATGTTGGTTTTGAAGACGAAGAGAAAGAATATGAACACACCGATCAGTACATTGTAGGTGTCTACTAAATTCTCAAACCATTGAGGCAGGTCGACAAGAGCGCCCACTATTTCAAAGATCCAGTTAGTGCCCATCACCAAAGACAAGCGAAGGAATAACGCAAACCTGGAAATATAAAAAAACCTTCAAACAAGAATAAGTCAAAATATAAGTGTTTACAATTAGTACAAAGCGAAATAAAGAAAAATGAAATCTATGTAGGTTACAATGTATGATGTTGAAACTAGGAGGTTTGCAGAGGTTACCGCAAACCTTTAATTCATATTACACCATTGTTTTTATATCATTCGAATGGCAAACAAACTGATGGTCCACTTGTTGGAACCGTCGCCTACATGCCTATAGAGATCATGTAATTGCACTATATGGTGGTAAAAAAAATGAGATGGAGTATCCCTTCAACTGAAATAAAACTTACAAAAGAAAAACAGCTTCGCGGCTAAAATAGGTAGATAGAGTTATCCATGCAGACACCTTGAACATTGGCGGCGAAGTGATTTAGTTAGATTTCAGATTAAGGCTAGTATTATGCTGTATCGTCGTTTCTGAAGAATTCACCAGAATGTACTAAGTGACCTGACTTCATGGTTATACTATTATCGGAGGATACTGTGGAGACGGGTGCTCGGCCCGCCAGCGTAACCTTTAAATTATCACCCATTAAGAAAATACTTACCGATTTTCATTTTTCTTATTTGTTCTGTGATCATTGTGATCATTGTCATTGAGTCGTGACAGCTCCATTCTGATTGTCCAAATTTTGTAGTAAGTCAAACAAAATAGCAGGCTATTTATTATCAATATTAACAGAATTGGTGTTAACAAATAAATTGTTCGGCTGATTTCTAAAAAATAGTACACATCTCACTAATAGGTATTATAAACGCGAAAGTTTGTGAGTATGGATTAATGGATGAATGGATGTTTGTTACTTTCTCACACAAAAACTACTGAAAGTATTTGGTGAAACTTTAGAATAAAATACATTAGAATAATACATAAGCTATAATTTAAAAAGATATGATCAAAATTGGGCAAAATATAATGATAAATATCAAGGTAGTGTGTTGAAGACGATGTTGCGTGGGTCACCTAGTTAAATAAATATAAATAAACCATAACAGATTGGATTATCGGTAGACATGATATGATATGCCTATAGTCAAGTCTCTTGGAGTAGTTTTGTTTGGCATCGATATTTCAATCACCGGAGAGTCAATCAGATAAGTAAATTGTCAGAAAAAAATTATGGTATTGGGAGCGTTATTCCAGCGTTAGTTGGGAATAAGTACCACTACACCTCTATATAAATATATATCACGTATTCATCATTTATATCTAGCCGCTTAGAAATAATTGCAAATATAAAATTTTCTTTTACATCTTCTTAATTATATAAAGTTCTAGGGTTAGTATAAACATATCTAGATACAGTGACAGATAAATACTATGGATTCGATTGGAGGTTGAGATGTGGTAGTGAAATTATAGAGTACTGACGTCATCTTTGTAACATCATAGTCCTTTTGAATAGCTACCCAAAAGACATAATATAAATATGTAGATATGTTTAAACACAATTGTATGATTGATTGTATACTAGCTGCTTCTAAAATAAAAGTACAAATAATATCCTTTCTTTCCTTGGTTGGACATTTAGCACCTCCGGATAAAAATAAGGGGGAGTGTAGCTTTATACAAAGTACAAAGTAATTTTTCATTTTATTATATTATAGACTAACATACATAAGGAATAATAATAAAATGTAAATGAAATTGTCTCTATGGTCACGGCGCTGACGACGGCAACGGTTGCCACTTACCATCAAATGGTACGTGTGGGTGACCACGTGTGCGGTGCCTGTTCGTGGACGTAGGCGTGTGAGTGTGTGTGTATTGGAGGAGAGTGTATGTGTACATGTTGTATTATACTGCAAATATTTCACTATTTCTGCATAATGTATAGTGATGAGTATCGGTTTATTTATAGTCGTTTTGTCCTAGCGTCATTACAATATAATTTGTGATAGTCTTCCTTATAAAATACATGCCGTTGCTGTAGGCCTTATTATTTTGCGTGGGGTACGTAGTGATGATTCAATTTGGTTATTTATACTTACTAGTATATTCTTGTTCATAAATTATTACGTACCTAATGTGTCTGCAGTCTATTATTATATTTTAATTTCTATCTATATTTATTATATTTATGTTTCTAACTAACTATTGTATTATTATATTTTTAGGATTCTCTACCTGAAAAGGTATAAAGTTGAGGTTTTAATAGAATAGAATAGAAAATCATTTATTCAAATAAACTTACATTGAAGCACCTTTGAATAGTCATTACATTTTTTTAATCTACCGCTCATTCGGAAAGCTCTCTCATCGCAAGAAGAACGAGCAAGAAACTTGCGTGTTGCTCTTTTAAATAATTTTATTATTACTTTACATTTTTAAGTTTAAGTGTGTGAATACAAACCACCAATTAGCACTAATTCAACTAAATACTCAATAAATTAAATTAAATAAAAAAATTAAATACAATTAGCACTAATTCAATTAAATTCAATAAAATAAATAGAAAGAATATTGAATATATAACCAACTGGTTAAACAATTAATAAGAGGAAATCAGTTATAGTGATTAGAGCAGACCAGTCCCTACAAGCAGCTTGCAGCTAATTACATAAATTTAAAACTTATCTGTGTACTTCTAAAGCAACAAATTTAGGTGTAATAAGTTTCAGACATACATTATCATCTTTATATGCAATGAAATAGTAGAATTATGAAGAGATTAAAACTGTTTATTGTAAAAAAAAAGTTTTATGTAAGTGTGGAATGAAATCACAAAATACAGAAGTCCTATTGTAATCCTAGAAATCTACCCTACAAATGGGTAAATTCGAATTGATTTATAAATTTGAAATACTCAATTTATTATTTGTATATAATTAATTAATTTAATAACAGATGGTTTCATATATATGCTTTATTATTATTATTTGATTACTATCAACAAATGATGGATTCTAAATGTACACGTACAAAATTGTGGGTACCTGGTACCTGATGTAATGAAAACAAAAAAAAGTTATATTCTGAATGTAGTGTACATTCAGGTTGACATTCTGCCATTAAAACTTTTTCATGTTACTGTTTCTGATTTGTTTGGAATTTTGCAAATATATTTTTGACCTCTTTGTGTATATGTACACGACATGTAAATACCAATAGTAATATAGGTAATATTACTATTGGTATTTACATGTCGTGTTAGTCATACAATCAAGCTCGGCGTGGAATAAGTGCAGAATTCACGTTTGAGAAGAGCCATAAATTTGTTGTTAATTAAATAAACACTTCTAAATCTGTTTGGTACGGTATGCTAAACGTTAATCCGTTGATGGTTTTTGGCAAGGTAAAATTTGCATACATGTAAATGAAAGGCTGGAATGGTACAAGTACGCTAAATGTGTAGGATATATAAGATGTTAGTGAGACTATGGTAGGTCATACGGATCATACGGGTTGGTATTCCTAAAACCCTTTTATATAACCGGAACCGGATTATTTGCCATAAGCTGATAATCTGATGGTAAGTGGCAACCTTCGTCTATATACAATACATTAACAGCATACGGATATCGTGTCGTCATGTTACGTTCGTAGTACCAATTATGCGATGTCATTCTTGAGAATTAAGTATGCTTCCCTATCCTGTAATTACACTTAAATACCTCACCAATCAGGCACAAATATAGTGTACAAATCACGCTGCTTGGTAGCTAAACTAAACGAAATAGAAGTGGCTAAGTACTAAAGGTTTAGATCTGAAGTTATCCTTCAAGTCAAAATATAGTGTACAAATCCCTCTGCTTGGCGACAAAAATAGGCGAGACAGAGCAAGTCACTAGGTTCCTAAGATTTAGGTCCGAAGTTAACCTTCAAGTCAACATATAATGTACAAATCACGTTGCTTGGCGTTACTTAAGGTTTATGTCTGAAGTTATCCTTCAAGTCAAAATATAGTGTACAAATCACGCTACTTAGTGACAAAAATAGTCATGATAGTTGCAGATGACTAGGTATTTAAAGTAGAGTCACGTAGGGCAAGTGTGCGCAGCGGGTAAGTGTACGCACTCGAAGTATTTCAAAAACGGTTTATAGGTACGAACTGATAACACCCCTCCTCATTAGCGCACAAAAGGCTATACTTAGTGCAACTTTTTCACTGTCCGCCGGTGAACCATTTTGTTTCCGTAAGTGAGTATTGTTTTTTGCTTGAAATATTGCGATTTTTGTCTTAAATGAGAGACTCATTCCTTTGTAATATATTTATATTTTGAAGTCATGCTTTATACCATCGAACAGTACATTTTATGTAATATAAGCCGTGTTTAATCTTTTGGTGATGACGATTACGTAATATTGCTCAGTTCTGGTTAAATTTTATTTTGATGGTTTGGGGTAAGTGTGCGCATACGAATGTCGGGTAAGTGTGCGCATGCGAATACTTACCCCGCTCAGCTTTGGCTTTGTATTTATGATGCAATTTGTTATTTCAGAGTTTAATTATACATAAAAAATGCCTCGATTATAAAAGAAATGCCGGATAGAAGTGTTGTCACAGAGGAACAGCTAGAAGCTGTTAAAAGATTAATTTCGGAGGTTGGTAGCAAACGACAGTGTGGCACCCGCAATAATGAGTGTACCTTCGTCTAGGAATGAATATGTACGACTGTCATCCATCCAAGAAATACCGAAGTTGGCCTTAGGCATTTCTTGAATGAATGACTGTGATTCAAAATCGGCGAAAGAAAGGCAAAAAGTCAATCATTGATACTGTAAGTCCTTATAAAGTAGAATTGGAAAAACAAAAAACAAGAGGAAGAATAAATTGCCAAAAAAGAAGATACGACTTGATCTGAAAATAAATAAAATGATGAGCAGGAATTATTTTGCCCACTGTGTGGAGAAAAATACATATTTCCACCGAATGAAGACTGGATCCAATACAGCATCTGTAAGAGCTGGTGGCATGAACAATGCAATAACTTTGAAAAGGAATTATTTGAACTGATGTATTATTAGGTTGAGGATGTCTATTTTCTGGTTTGTCGTATGAGTCTGACTCTATTTACTGTATGTTACATGTTGCGTACACTTACCCGCACTACTGCGCACACTTACCCCTATACTTGGGTAAGTGTGCGCATTTAAACAGTTTTGATTTTGTTGATTTCCAAAGAATTTGTGTAAATGATAATTATTTATTTTGCGTTTAAGTTGTTGATTATTAAATATTTTATATAATAAACCTTGTTTTGTTCCAGTTAACTTCAAATATTTTATTATATGATACTTCAAACCTTAAGTGCGCACACTTGCCCCACGTGACTCTATAGGTCCAAAGTTTGCCTTCAAGTACAATACAGTGTAGAAATTACGCTGCTTGGCGACAAAAATAGAGGAGACAGAAGCAGGTGGCTAAGTACTTAAGGTTTATGTCTGAAGTTATCCTTCAAGTCAAAATATAGTGTACAAATCACGTTGCTTCTGTCTGTCGTAAGTCTGAACTTTTCCATTTATAAATAATAACTAGTTGTGGATTAGTATTCCAATTCTGGATATAGTTAGTTTAAATTTCATGTTTGAGGTACTATTGTCAGAGACTATAAACATAATAATATATATGTATAGGTGTTTATATTAGTGTTTATCAAACGCTGATTATGATATATGCAATGTGTTATTTTTAATCTATATATTAGTACCTACGTGAGGCAAATAATTTAGATCTCTTTTTACGAAAATTACGCAAACATGAAAATTCTTACACTTATTCTTTATATATAGAAGGAAATATTGTTTATCTTTAATATTATATGTCTATAGTATTACTGAATGTTAAACATAAGAATGACAAAATTAACTAATTACGATACATTTAAATTAGTTATAGTCGAATTTCGACCCCTCGGCAATCACTATTTATTATAAACATATTAGGATATGCGAAGATACTCACGATAAAAAGAGCAAGTGTCGAATAATGGCTTCTTGAAGTTAGGCAAGTGGCTCAGGTCGGTATGGTCTATTATAACTTCGGCAGCCACAAGTAAGCTAGGTGTGAGCCAAGCGTACAAGCCGTAGTACATAAACTTCCGAAGCACATTACGCCGTTGGACGCTGCGTTGAGAGCGTGTATGTCTATGTACAAATAACATTAATTAATAAAAACTAATATCACATGCAATAAATAAAATTAATGTGCACTTTTGAATAGTCACTTTTTTATTCCACTACTTATTTGGAACGCAGACTCATCACAAGAACGAGCAAAAACTTGCGTCTTGCTCTTTTAATAAATATTGTTCTAAGTAAATACACATTAACAAGGATTAGGCATGCAACAATAAACATAGAAACCGCTATGAACTCAGTATTTGTAAAATAACAACAATTTAATCCAAACTTAATTACATAAAGTCAATTTCACCATTTTTCTGTCAATACGACAGTAAAATGATGCCTTTGCCTTGTACCTATAGTTGAAAGTGTTAAAACTTAAAATAAAATTCTCAGTATATTTTATTTAGATGATTTATTTGACTTTTTTGCTTGTAATCAATAAACAAAAAATAACATTTGTAATCTATAATAGATTATCCACAAGCGACATATCTAATATAATATATAATTTTCAGAAAATAGAGATTGTAAATAGTTAAATAATTAGTTGAATTCGTGCGAAACCGGGATGTTAGTCATTCTATTGTTAATACTGTAATTTTATTTAGTTGAATACTCAGGTGCCATGCTTCCGTATCCGTATATGTATATAATTTCTCTACTATATCTCACACAGGAGCATATGAAGCAAACTGCTTCTTGGCAGAAATTGATAAGAAAGATGTGTTCACGTAGACTTTGTGCGAAATCCCCAAGAAGATTATCATTAAAATAGAAATATAGTTATAAATTTCCAGTTTCAGTGGTCAACATTAAATGTTTTGACATGCATAGTTTAGAGTAGTTGAGATAATGTGGTAAATTAATTTGATTATTTAAACGATTTCGATGGTGCAATACTAATATTTATTCAAACATTTGTATTCATGAGAATGAATATGATTGTTTGTATCGGTCTGGGTGTTTTCTATGTATATTAATGTATGTATACAAAAAAATATCTTAGTATTTTTATATCAGTTATCTAAGTACCCATAACACAAGCTCTGCTTACCATGGAACTAGATGGCTCTGTGCTAATTGTCCAGAGATATTTATTTATTTATTTTGCCTTCTAATTAATGAAACAGTTTATGAACTTTTTTTACCTGCATTTGCGCCAAATGTCAAATGACATCACATTCATCCACATAAAACTGCTCAGGATTCCGAAGTACACAAATGGTTCTAAAAATATTTCAAATGATTTCATCTATACTTATATATGTATGAAAAAAAGAGAGCTGGTAGTTTCTGAGAAATTTAAACACCTATATTCAACAATTTAAACAATTCTATCAGTTTGAAAGGTTACATATTTTGTTAACATATATAACACTCGCACAGTCACGTACACGGGAAAACCGGGCCGTGCCACTAGTTTGAAATTGAAAGATGGACGGATGGATGTTTCTTACTCTGTCACGCAAAAACTACTGAACGGATATTGATGAAACTTTACAATAATATACCTTATAAATCAGATTAACACAATCTATAAATTTTATGTGGAGAAAACCGCGGACACAGCTAGTACTTTAATATTTTGCAGAGATTTAAATGAGGATTATTAATAATGAGGATATTAGTCCTATTGCAATTTACCTTACAATCTTTTCATGGTTTGCCTATGTATAGTGATAAAAAGTTATAAATCTATTATATACCTAAATATAAACAGGTCTTGACATCAATCGCCCTCTGCCATAATCCGAAAGATTGGACTGCTTTGGTCAGGAATGCCAGACAAAATGTACCCATATACGCCATCAGTACAAAACCAAATATGTTGTGTAGCTCCTTCAATAACGCATATACGATTATCACGATTAGCATAAAGAAGCTAGACACCAGCATACCTGAAATAAATTTATTTTTAATCAATAGGAACGGCAAACTAACTAAAAGTCCAACTGGTGGTAACTTGTTTTATAATAATAATAATCATCAGCTTTATTGGTCTCAATTAAAAACTAATACAATTGCTGCTTATAATAAAATTTAAAAGTATTGAACGAGACTATACGGTCTATAACTCAGAGGGGGCAGTGAGTCCACCCTCTCTGCTATTCTGTTATAGTAAATTAATACAATATGAGATCGACGACGACGATAGCAAGTTCTAAATTACTATTATACTAACAAAGTAACCATAAATATTGACAATAACTTAATCACACTCTTTAACAGAAGTTGATCCTACAAAACGCCTTCATATCTGAAATAGTTAAGTCTTAGATTTTTCTTTTTTTATTGGATTGTTTGGGCTATTGTCACAGATACCAAAGTATATATCACGGTGAAATGATAAAAGTACAATACAATGGGGTAAACAGTCAGCATACTTTGAAGATTGCCAAGTGAAATACATCATAACTAATTTTGTATACTAAATGTAAGCATAGGATTTGCGTCTTTGAATTTTTCTCTTAATGAGGAATATGGTGAGATATCGCAGTTTCGCGAATTTTGGGCATACTGCGCCGACCACAAATAATGGGACAAAGGGTAATTTTGAATATCGGCTGGGGATGAGTCCAATATGGACTATTAATCACAGTAATCATAATAAAGTATTACCACAGATAATATAATATTAACAATGGGGTTGTTAATATTATATTATCTGTTGTAATACTCACGTCAGGTGGATCTCATCCTGGAAACCATCATAATAAATTCCTGGTGAATTTGTCACGATGGGCTAACTGACCTGACTTCATGCTCATTATATCATCCTTCACTGGTCCTCTGCCAGCGTAAACCGTTAGCGCACTATTCCATTATCACCCTTGAAAATATAAAAAATATGACCCCGTTGAGTTTGTGTAATTCAAAAAGATTATAATTAAAAAAGAAGATTCTATAATTTGAGTAATTTCTCATGAAATTATTTTAGAATTGGAACATTTAGAAAGAGAATAATTAAGAGCGTTTGGTTTGAATGGCTTGTTGGTTGTAAAGCAATGTAAAAGGCGCAGCAATGCACCATATATGTATGGTACGGTGTACATAGTGCATCTTAATTGTTTGTCATTCTGTCAGTTTTTAAATACTATGCCGCCTCTATCGTGCATGGCAAATTAATAACAACTATTTGATTGACAACCGATTGCTCTTTGAAGTATGAAGAAAATAATGAAAACAGACTTACCAATAGCCACTAATATTCCTTTTAAGTCATATTGGTCGTTATTTTCTAGAATTTTTAAAGCAACACTTGGCACCAGTCCATGTTCAGTCTCTTGAGCATAAAATAATATTATAAATTTATTCTTTTTAATATTCTGATACCGGGAACCGGAGTTGGGAATGTCTATTGTGATGGAACCGTCCTAAAATATTACTTATTAATATTATCAATGTCTGTCGCTTACGCATCAAAACTATTGATCCGATTTGAATGAAATTTGTTACACACACAGTCTAATTTGTCAAAATTGTAATAGCATTTGCTGGTGATCACTCTATTCTCCCTAATTTGAATTTAAAAATGAATCTGTATTTTTGTTAACATGTACTACATCATTTGAAAATAATAAGAGCTGAGTTTCTTGTCAGTTCATCTTTGGTCGAAAGCACTCCGAACTGACGGTACATTTTACTTATCATAAGTCTCTGTAATAGTCGTATATGAATAAAGATATTTTGATTTGATTTGATTTTGAGTAAAGTAAAAATAATATGTAAGTTTGTATTAATTATAACAGTACAGTCCCGTTTTCAATGATTTAAACGTAGAGCATGAAATATATTATGTAATAATGTATTATTACGTATTATACGGATAAACCTACAGGTAAATTTAACACAAATACAATACAATGTTACCCATTGATAATAGTTTGTATGACGCACCTGGTTTTTTGCTGTAACACAAAAGGGGTAAGGTAGAAGAGAAAATATCTCAGAGGTGCCATAGGCGACACAGTATTAAGTTCTATTAGGTGAGCTATCACCTTGTCTGCCATTTTTGAAACATCCTACTACCCGAGTGACAAATATAATAATAATAACCCTGCATAATTTAAACAGCGCCATCTAGTCACAAGCTAAGTAGAGTCTGTGTTATGGCTACAAAACAACTGACACAAATACTTATACATATATATATATTTACATGTATTATACACGTAGAATACAACCAGATCAATACAAATAATACTATTGAATAATACTAAATAATACTGAATACAAATGATTATACTATCACCATCATCATCGGCTACCATCGGAAGTAACGCGGTTTACTAAACCACTATATCAAAGGCCGCTGTGAAAGAAATATGAGATTGTAAATAAAGTGAAACTATATATTCGTTTATTTTCATATAAATATTTAACGGTTCACAGTTACATATGATCTGTTTTTGAAATTAACATCAATTAGGTACATCGGTGGGCAATTTCATACTCTTGAATTGTAAATTTGTACCATGTACTGTTTATTATACTACTCATATAGTAAGTAGTTGAACAAATTTAAAGATGTTACAAAAATATTTCAGACTCCATCTGTAAAGTGTATTATTCTGGAAAAACCTTTTTAATTATATAAATGAAGTGTTTTAAAGATGCAAGTGTATTACATGTTTTTATATTATATAAAAAAAGTCCCGTCAAAATCGGTCCAGCCATTTGAGAGATTAGCCGGAACAAACTGACAGACAGACAGACAAAAATTGTAAAAAATATTATTTTTGGTGTATGTACCGCATTTATATTCATGTAGTAAAAAAAGGTTATTACAATACTACGAACAGACACGCCAATTTTGTTTATATGTATAGATATATAGGTATGTGTCTGTGTTACAGTTATATATATATTCTATTTATTTATTTCAGGAGACAACGTGTCCTTGTCAATTTCTTATATTCGTAACAAATTTATTAGTTTTTTTAACAATCTATGTTATTCTGCTATATATTATAATGTAAGTCAAATTAAAACTTAATAATTGAGATCGAATAAATTCATATTAATGCAACAATACAAGACACAAAACAACCATATTCATGAATACAAATGTTTTCACCGTGCGATGAATCGAATCCACGACCATCGGAAGTAAAGTGGTGAGTTAAAACGCTAGACCATCAGTATGTATATCTATAAATATTAAGTACTTACTTCCATAATATAGAGCACGTTGTGTACAAAATCACTTATCGCCCAATCACCAGAACAGATCTTGTTATACATGTGTTTATTTTTGAAAGTAACGATATGGAAGCTCTCATGGAATAATTTCTCGCTTTTAATAATGTTGCCATATAGTTTCTTATACACATATTGTAACCGTGATATGGTACTATTGCCTTTGGCACTGACTTCGTTCATCGGCTCGCATCTCTTCTGTGCAATACCAATCCGTTTCACTACGATGCACGGCTCTTTATAGCGGCTTATGATGCAGGGGTTTTCTTGGCAAAACTCTTTATTTACAGTGTTACCATGAACATTGGTGAGGTTTTTATCATCACATATAGAAATATCTTGACACGTAATGATGCGCAGGTATATTATAATGATGTAATATTTATATAGAGTCATTGTAGTTATAGATTTTATATGTTGACACCACATTTAAAGCAAATATATTTTTTTTAAATCTATTTCAAAATTGTATATTAGCATCTAGTCTACATACTTAAATAAATATTAATTGCTTTATGTATTAATATCTTGAGAATGACTGCCTTTATTTGGCTAAACCATTTTTTGCTGTATTCGTAATTGTCAGGAATATTTTCTTATGAAATATAATCTTTCATATATCCCATATATAACTGTAAAACTTGGATTGATTGATGAATCTGTATTTTCTTAATTATGTACAAGCTCATTTGAAAAAAATGGGAGCTTAATTTCTTCTCATATTTGCTCAAAAAGCCATTTAGATGCATATTTAATTTAATATAATAATAATTGTTCAAAGTTAAAAACGTTTGTAAGTAAAATATAAAATAAAATATGGGAATATATGGTAATTAATAGTAAAATGAGTAGATGAGAACACGCGGTTTGGAGACCAAATGCAAAGACTCTGGCTCTCAAGGCTGGCGGTAGATTTAACATATTATAAGAGTCCGTAATATACCTGAATAAAGATATTACGTTTTGATTTGATTAAATTCTACATCAAATTGATATTGATAGTAAAAATCAGACTTGGTGTTATTTTCTTAATTAGTACGCTTATCCTAATACTAGATAGATTTTATTTGAAGTACGGTATGCATCCGTTCATCTGGTATTATTGCAAGTGTTTATGGTGTGCGGTAGGCACTTACTATTAGGCAGATGATGTGTTTAATTGCCACATGTCAAAATATATGAAACTTTTTTGCTCCTTATCTGTCGATCAATATCAGTGTATTCCAGCTACCGATAATTCGGCCTACATTTGTTTTATATAACGGAAATCTTAATCTTGTCACCTATTTAGTTATAGAGAAGAGGGACGTGATATTTTTCTACTGCGATTTTTGCAAAGTTTCGGCCTATCTAATGGCAAACCGTTACTGTAGTTTATGGACGGATTGATTAGTTTGTTAGAAATGAGGACCAGTACCGCTCTTACTACCAATTAAATATAGTAGGTTGGTCTCAACGCATTCCACCCTCCCCTCAGATCGATCCAATTCAAACGGGGATCGAAATTACGATGGCCTGAGCCTAGATTCGAACCCCTAGCGGTGCCCTCAAACTAAAGTCGTAGCCGTCAGGTGGGAGTTGCCATCTGCACTTGCCTCCTATCGTCCGGTGTAGCTGTAAAGGTCAGCGGTGGCCAACAGCATTAGATAAGTAAAAAAAAAATTCCACCCTGGCATGTGAATTAGTCACGATAGACTAAGTCTAATTTCAAATTCATCTGTAATCTTTCACTGGTGGGCACCAGCGCATTCCATTAGCCTATTAGCTATACCATTATCATTAATAAAAAAATACAGGATTAGAGAATACCAAGCTGCGTGATGAAATGAAACTAATTTCACCAAGTAATAAAGTGTAAATCTAAAGATAAAATTTTGCAATTTCCACACTAACTGTGGCTACAGTATTTACATGAAGCTTTTCAATATTATTTATCCTTCCCTTCTGGCGGAAATTTGGGTATATCTCGCATTATCAACGCTCTATAAAAACACCTATTAAGTAGTATAATTTTAATAGTGCGATCTGTCTGTATGTATTATAATTTTGTCACTATATTACCGTTGCCTACCAAAAAGTCATCGGCATAATCAATTGGAATCCACTTTACAAAAATATATTTTTTCAAAGACTAATAGTCTAGATTCTTGTCATCTATATTATATTGTACTATTTAACTGAATAAAAAGTGAAAAACAAAATGATGTATAAGTAATTATTATTTAGTATGTACTTACAGGACTCTAATATTTTATAATCTAATACAATTGTGTCCAAAAATCTTCTAATAAGACTTACCAATCATTAATTATTGCATTGTGAGATTATAAAACACATTTTGGAGAACACCAGGCCTAAAAAACGATTATAATAATTTTTATTAATCAATTACGTAAAATAACAATAAAATAATGTAATGTTACGTTCCCTTATTGTCTTGATAAAATGAATATAACATCAACAAGGAAATAAACTATATCGATTCAAATAATACTGCCTCTTTGTGATTTTATTATACGAGAATCACTTTATACCTATATTCAAACGTATAACTATTATAAATGAACAGATTATGTATGGAATGTGGTTGCCAAGGTAAAAAATATAAAGAAACATGACAGTAAGTAATTATTATATAATATTAACATAATGTGTTGGATAACTAAACATACAGGTTCATACGTCATGTCAGACGGTTACTATAAGCTATGGGTGTAGGCGGTGTTCTCTGATGGGTATTCCCTGCTTCTTTTTGAAGAACACCATTAAGTTTAAGAAAAACCTGACAGGAAGTTCATCCATAATTAGTTTATGGTTCGTGGTAGCTCTAAATCTTATTCCATATAATAACCCTGGTCATCTCACATAGCGCCATCTAGTCGAAAGCTAAGCAGATCTTGTGTTGTGGGTACTAGACAATCGATATAAATACTTAGTTATTTATTTTTGTAAATACATACACTATATACATTAGGGTGATCCTTATTTTTTTACTTTTGAATTATCCTCGGGCCACTTGCTCATTTGATTATATACTTATAACTCTAAATATACAGCAATTTTTTTTTTGTTAAGATTTAGAGGTCGCTACCAGCTGTCAAAATTTTTACAAAAAGCGTTGAAAGGCAGCTTAAATGATGGTATTATTAATGTTTCATTTCCGTGTTTAGTCGAGCAAGATAAACTCTCATAGACAATCGCTTCATATTTTTCCTTCAACCCCTCTCTATACCGACGAGTTGAGATTTCTTCTGTACCGACGCGTCGAAATTTAGCCAGTTTTAATAAGTCATTAACTGTATAAATCATATAACTTGTATAAGTCATAGTAACGTATCAATTAGTACTATTAATTATAACCAATTAAGAGCAAAAGCAATATTTACTTTTGTTGGTAAAAGAGCATAGGAAAAAATACGCTAATACTAACAAGTCAACCCTATATCTAAAAATAAATGAAATATCTACATAATATCTTCGTAACAACAACAATAATTTGGTAATATTTTTTATCTGGGCTAAAAAAATAAAAGAATGTAACAAATGCTAAACTTAATAAATAAATAAATAAAAAAAAATCTCAATAAAAAACGTGCAAATTTAAGTTTTTATTTTAAATTCAAACCTAGGACCTCTAAATATCTTTAAATTTTTTTAAAAAAATATTGAAATACTTTCTCATGGTATCAAATTACGTGGTGCCCCACGAAATTTAAAAAAAATATTTTTATTCATAGGAATAAGGACCACCCTAATATACATAGAAAACACCCAGACTGATACATAAAAATCATATTTACAATATAATAACATAATACTCATAAATACCAACGTTTATTTTCATAAGTATGACTGCATAATTATACCATAATTGTACCATGCAAGGAATTCCTTGCATGGTACTACCACAAATAAGAACTCACGACTATCAGAAGTAAACTGCTAGACCACCGGGGCTGCCCGTGTTATTTGAGGTGTGATGGTAAATTGTCTATGGCAAGTAATACGATGGTAGATGATAGTACTATTCTACAATTTAGAAAGATTTGAAGACGATTGAGAGCACTATAAAACTGCCAAAACTGTAAAAGTTTCTAAAAGTAGGACGCTTCTACTCACTTATGAATGAATGATTTTGATTTAGAATTAAAATATTTTTATAAAGGTCAAATCACAATGCGTCATCTAGTGTCAACCTAAGCAGGCTTAAATTGAATCTGAAACCTATTATGGAAAAGTTATAATATAATCTTACTTCATCCTTGATAATTTAAGAGCTACGCTCTTGTTGTCGGTGGAGCACTTGCTACTTTCCTTTCCGCGATCTTCCATCATGCTCTTCAATTCTTGATACGACACGACTTCCATTTTGTCGTTAATTAGTTTAAAATCTTACTAAGCAACGTAGCACAGTATTTTTGGGATATGATATAATATCTATAGTTATAACGCATATAGTTTAGAAATTTATAACTAGAAATAGTCCGATCAGTTTATTATTATCAAAAATATATAATCCATTATTTACGTACGTTCCAATTTTCTAAACAATATACTAGAATAGATTTTGTTAGCTGGAAGAGAGGCCACGTGTAAACCGATATTGCGTCGTATATTTCAGTACAGCACAGTATAATTTTAAACTATATTATAGTAGCTCGAATAGGTTTTATATGTCAAATATAAACCTACAGATATTGCGTAAAAACGTTCGAAAATATCAATATTTACAATCTGTGCGAATGTGCAAAATAAAATCACTGTGTAAGTAATTTGCACACGGTATTAAAATTAACAGATGATTAAATTAGTTATATTTTTCACCCTTAATCTTACAGCATACTGTGGAAAAATCTTACAGTAAAATACATGCCTAATTATTTACATAATCCCATTTTATGTATGCAAAAGTTAGTTTAATTTATTACATATGTACCCTCAGGCAGCTAAATAAATATATGTTACAATTCAAAATTTTATTAAATTTTGAATTGTAATTTAAATTTTACAATTCTTAGTTTCTGTAATTTTAATATAGAAAATGTTATATATTGGCTTGACAGCCAATAATATTTTTGGTGGATCCTCCTCTAGAGAAATAACCTCAAGACAGTGAGACTGGAATTTAGTCAGAAAACTTCATTTCTTTTCGATTATAATAAGAATATGTAATATTATTCTCTTATCTATGCCGAGATGATCTCCACTCTTCGAGATAGTGTACCCATAACAGATTTTATAAATCATAGAATTAACATATAAACACATAAATCATAAACATACCACTACACATGTGCGTCAATTTATATGAATACGATTAATCATATAAAAGCTATTTATCCTATATAATTTACTCCTGCATATAAATATATACTCTAATTCTGTTATTACAGAGTAAAGTTTTTATTGTACATCACGTAATTCCAAAGCAAAATTAGGTGAGTCAATTTAGGCAACACATAGCCTAATTTAGGGTTAAATATTAGGTAACCTTCTGATTTTTAGTGGTTAAGTGGCTATTACTGCATAGTTTATTAATAATATATAATATGTATTTGGTAAAGTAACTGAAATATCATTAACATGACGCAATTGGCCCGAAATATTATAAAATTGCTACATATAAATATAGGTATGTATACAGAATACATAACAAAACAATAGAACAATTTTATTTAATACATAATAAATAAACGGTAAATTCATTAATTGATACATTATTATCACTATGTCCCCTCGAACAAAGTGATAATAACAACAAAAAAGATACATCCAATAACTATCAATAACATCTTTTTTATTGATATTTATTCGTTATATTTTTCTTCTTTGTACACGCACTGTATCAATATTTATGTAGGCAGCAAATTTAAAAATGACGTAAAATTTAAACTATCGAAAATGGTGACGCTGTTATCAAAAAGTAACTTTTTTTAGCTCCCGCCTCTAATACTATTTACTATCTCTTACTGTATATAAGACATGCTGTACCATCCGTGGATTATCAGTTAAATAAGCTTTCAAACCCCCATGCTAGGGGTAATGTTTATAACAAATTTCCTTATTAAATTGTATTTATTATTCAGTTATATTATGTTTAAGAATTAAGTATTAATGCTTTGTAGGTTATAATTTGTCGTAAATAGATTAATATAAGAAAATCACATTTTTAAACTGTTAACACTCCGCACAAAGTTTTATAACACTTGTCGTCGGCTCGAACCAAGCCGTTCAACTACAGAGTCAGAAAGTGTAGAAATTATACTTTGTGTGCTGTAGATACGATTCAATAGGTATGATTGTTTACATTTACTTTTAGACTGTTGCTGTTAGAGCGTTTTATTTTATATAATATTTATTTATACATGTTAGCTATGATAGTGTAGAAAATCGATCTATTCAAAGTAACATTGTTGTGTACCGATTGGATTAACATAAACGTTAAATATTACTTAATAAATTACAATATATGTTAAATATTACAATATATATCAGGGATGTTAGAGAGTACCGAGTAACCGTAACCGAATCCGAAATAAAAGTTTCAGATAATATCGGATAGGGGTGAAGCGTAATTGAAACACGTTATGTAACCTTTTTATTAGCTATTTGTATTTTACTTTTGAAATTAATATCTGTAACCGAAATTATCCGAAACTAACGGATAATCCAAAATAATTTCATATTCGCATCCGTATCTGTATCCGGTATAATAATCATTCCTATATCCGAAACCTATCCGTATCCGAAATTTCATATCCATAACATCCCTGATATATATATATATATATATAGAATTACAATACGTCAGTGAAAACAGCATTCAAATGATTAATAAGCTGAGATTTGCGTGCACAAATCTACAGACAAACAGAAAAATAAAATATTTTGTTGACATTTGATGTTTAGAAAAAAATCTTTAACAAACACAGTTCCATTAGAATCATACGACTTTATTATATTTCTGGAATATTTTAATAGTAACAACACGTGTTTCAAGATCACAGAACAAGTGTTTATTCTGACTAGCGGCAACCGCCTTTATATTTGAAGTTACAGCTAGTTTATTTAGTATGAAAGAGAAACCTTGTATTTTTTACCGACTTCAAAAAAAGGTTGTATGATAATCGCTATTTATGTACCTATATATGGTGTTACAATGGCAACTTGGAGCAACTTGAGAGGATTATTATAATAACGACTAGCAACCCTGTTCTTGAATTTACCGATTATGTCATTAAAACCTTTGATAAAAAGAAAAAAATAATGAGTATCTTTCTGGATCTCTCTAAGGGTTTGGATACTGTCTGTTTGTTAAACAAATGGGAATACCATTTGTTTAACAAACTGGATTCTATTGGCATTAGAGGCGTGTCTTTTAATATGTTCCTTGTAGTTACCTTGAAAATCGTACTCAATTTGTAAGATCAGATCAGATCAGTGACGAATATATCAGCTATGGTGTTTCACAGGGTAGTGTCCTCGGGCCTACCTCCTATTTAATTTATATTAATGGTCTTTGTAGTATAAATATTCAAAATTGTAAAACTATTACCTATGCTATGAAATATTATGTTATCTGTGTCTATGCTGACGATACAGTTCTCCTTGTTAGTAGACAGAATTGGATGGAAACTCATATACATTCCGAAAATGACTTAAAACTGTTAAGAATTGGCTTCAATTAAACTATCTTACTCTGAACATTTCAAAAATAAACTTTATGCCTTTTTCAATAAATCACGCCACTCAACCACTTTCGTCTATATCTTTGCCATTTCTATTCGCCCACATATTTGTTCGATATTAAATCCCACAATGTGTAAGTGTATATCTGCAGAACGCGTTCCTTCCCTTAACTACCTTGGTGTTATACTTGACTATTCAATGACCTGGAAACAGGATATTGATGTAACTGTTTGCCGCGCGAGGAAATTAATATATTTTTTTAAGAACTTGAGAAGTATGCACTAGTACAGTCAATTATTACGTACTGTATTACCTTCTGGGGAGGAGCAGTTAAAACTATATTGGTGAGACTTGAACGAGCACAAAGATCTGTCTTGAAGGTATTGACAAAAAAGCAATTCTGCTTTCAACTGAAGATTTGTGTTCAATTTGCCAGGTCCTAACTATCCGTCAACTATTTGTGCTAAACATTACGCTTCGTAGAACTTATAAAACATGTAAAATAAATCCTTGTGGTACTGCAACAGCTAGTCGTCATTATTACCACATAAGTTCTACTTTGTATGATAAGTTAAATTAAGAATTGAATTTATATTCTCTTTTCTACTACAAATGTAAGCTGTTGTTTTTTCATAAGACTAGCTTTGAAGCCATTTAGGCTGCAAAGCTAGTCTTATGAAAAAACTAAAGATCTTTTAAAACTTTCTTGACTCGACTTGTATCGTAAATATTGTAGTTTCAAAAATAATGTGTAATAATAATCATGGTCTATGGATCACCCTCCCTCTCTCTCTCTCTCTCTCTCTCTCTCACACACACACACACACACACATACACACAAACACAAACACATACTGTTTACACATATACATATCAAATGCAGGCATAGGCTCTTTTTGTTTTGCATTTCTTTGTTTTTCTTTGTTTTTTGTATATTTAAATATATTGTAAATTTTATTAGACAAACGTGATGTGGGTAACGTCATAGCATGTATTTTTTGGAATTATATAAACTCGGTGGATATTCGCAACACAGTTTTATACTTCTGTGTCATCGTTTCTTCAGTGAAATGGTACACATGTTTTCTGTTTTAAATAAAAAAATGGTGGTCTTTAGGGTTGCTAGTCGCTAATCCAGTTGACTTCCACGTGGTTTTCTGTTGAAACCTTTGTACTTAATTCCTGGGAAATTGGATGACTGAGCTAATATCTCGATAACCTCAACTGATAGATGTTGATATATACTAAACTCACAAAGTAATGGGCACCTTATCGACTGCCACTATATACGGGTAAAAAAAAGATTAAATAAACAAAATGTTAAGTACATTATTTTATTTATAGATAGAAAATTAAGAATTGAATTAAAAACATTGTAAATTATTATAATTTCAACTTAAATGTTAATGAGGATTTTTAAGTTTAGTTTATCACTTAACTTTCATACAATTATTTAATTACTCTTTTGGAGCTTTTATTATTAGGTATATAATATATTTTAAGAATTTTATTGAAGTCTTATTACGACACAAAATTAAATCTTATAGAATATTTGTACTCGTACATTATAAAAAATATATTTAATTAAGTACCTAAGTACTGCGTATAACTAAAATTATTTATGAATATTAATACATTTCTTTATATTACCATTGCAGATGAATTGTTCAATTAACAATATAAAATAAAATAAAAATTAATTCCAAATAAAAATAGAAAAAGTAACCTAATATTTAATGGATTAGGTTTCTTTTTCTATGTTTATTCAGTATTAATATTACACTGCATTTGAAATTTTGTATTAAAGCGATTTATTATATTTTTACGTACAATTAATTATTCTATATTCCAGTCTCTTAATCTAAAATAAAAGTTATGTTTTATCTCTTATAATATTATGAAAGGAAATGTAACGAATTTAGTTATGAGAAAAGTTCTAATATTATAAAAATAGAGGTATTTGGTTTTAAGGAAAGTAAACTATCATTGACTGCACCGATTTGATTCACTTTCTGAACGGTACAGTATTTCAATGTGACTTATTTATTCGTAATCAAGTTGATAAAGTTACAATATGAGCACCCAGGCTTCACCTGGGTGCTCATACAGGGTGGCCAACAAATTTAGGTTGAAATTTAGTCAATTCTTATATGTTAATTTTAACAAATAATATTAATGAAGGCGGTATGTATAATTAATACACAGTAGTCACGACGTCGTTGTCATAAATTGATATAAAGAACTTATTTTAAAACATTTTTCATCTTAAAAAAAAATTATTTAAATTATAATATGATTGATCTTAATATGTAATAAATAATTAAGTACTTAATAAAATAGAATGTAATATTAAAATGCAGTAAATCCGTGAATTATGAATGGATAGATAGATAGATAGATGATTGTTAGATACTCTTTTACGCGAAAACTACTGAACGGATTTTGATTAGACTACATTAATATATCTTATACATCAGAATAACATATTGGCTATAAATGTCATGCGGGTGTAATAGCGGGACCTGCTGGTGTAAATTAAAATAGGTACGTATAGAGATGCATATGTGTCACCACTCCTTTCGATCCCCACGGTCATAGGCGTAGGTCATAGACCACGACTAGAGATATGAAGCACAAACAATAATATATAAGCCTTTCTGAATTTTTCATACTGCTCATATTCATTTCTATGCATATTTCTTTGAAACTTCTAAACAACATTAAATAACTCTTCATTTTATTTCTCGGTGGATTTTTTTGGGAGAGACTTGTACTGTACTACTAAAGTCTCTTCAAATGAAGCTAGAGCCACAGTCACTCAGCTTCAGTATTGGTTTAGTAGAAAAAGATGCCGAAGAATTCCTAACATGTTTTAATTGTTTTGTCATTTAACGAAACCATAACTGGAACCTTAGATGACAGAGAGTCAAGTCATTCAGTAAGCTAAAGGAGATATTACAAGTATTATTAAGCAAATGTGTGCATGACAAGTGGTGCTTTCACCGTAACGTTGACAGCTGACAATTCTTTTGACTACCCCATCCAGGATTAAAGTCGAGGCGATATATTCTGTGTTTTAATTAAATTACATATAGTCCTACTTTATGTAAATTATATTAATAAAGTGGACACATCAGTTATATAATTAATAGTCCTGCTATAAATCTAGTTGGTATTCGTACTAATTATAGAGTATAGTGAATAGAGTGAGTAAAGTCGCAATTTAATTAATTAATTTAATAATAAACGCATACATAAAAGAAACATTAAAAGCATTACAAACTGTACGATATGTCGCCTGACTTGTCGGGTCGACCAACAGGTCTGTTTTGGAGTTTCTCAATATTGTCTTCAGTCTAATCTAATGTCGTACTATTGTCGTGCTATCTTGATACATAATCAAGTATTAAAACAAATAAATCAATAGTCAGTTACTTACTTCCATTAACTATCGATAATGGAATTAATTATAGTACGAAACCTGAACTTAACTATAATAGTTTTAGGGGTAGGGTGCGTTGAGGCTGATATTGCTATCAATGCGCCCACTATATCCAAGTATTAACAAACTTCTTCGGATTTTATTGCACCATTTCAAAGGTGCGTTATACCAATTCAATATAGGTATGTTATATACGTTAAGTAAATACAGGTAAGGTGCAAATTAGACAAATCCTTTAGGGTTGATGCACACTTGTGGACTGGAGGACTCCTGGCTGATATAGGATAAAGTAGTAGAACTTGATCGGCTCTTAGAGTACGGAGACCTTCGGCTGTGCCCACAGCCTCTGAACCTGTAAATAAACGTATACGATTGTTACGATTGCGCAATACCTATATTACCTAACTCTTCTTCTATTTATATCACTTCTTCGGTTATGATGTAAGAAGAAGTAGTGAAATTACAGTAAAAGAGGCGTGGTATATTAATCTTCTAGAATGCCGCCAATCAGTTTGCTTTGTAAGCTATTTCGAGAGATACATCAGTTATAAGTGAAAACATTGCTTTCAGTAATAAGGCTGCCATATTATTGTAATTATTATAGCGTGTTCTTTAATATATTTTTTGTCTTTTATTCACTGTATGTTACAAATAAAGTATACTCTATCTTAAATTACAGCGTACGAAGATAACTTAATACTACCATACCACCATACATCTATCATAATGGCATCTCGATAATGATAATTAGGTACGTCTTGGACATAGTATACCTCTTCTCTTATTTGTCTCGCTACCTATATTTTGTTCCTACCTCATTCAAGAGGATTAATAGGCCAAATGACTGGGGGAATGGGATTGTTGGTTATGTGGACTAATGAAGAATCCATTGTTAACAAAGTACCAAGTCAGTTTTCTTCCACGCGGTTCCCCCTGGAAACTGTCGTGATAAGATCCTGGTGAATTTGTCACTAATCTTATCATCCTCCACTGGTATCGCGTCTGTGTAAACCACTAGCGCAACCGGGTGCACCGTTCCATTAACATCAATTAAAAAAAATGTTCAAATGCCTCAATGAAAAAAAAAAGCTATTTTCAGCAAAATAGAGGAGCTCACTCACTTTTTACTCAACTTCTGGAATATCTTCCTTTTGCAAATTAAAATCAGGAATATGACCACTCCAATTAATAGGTTGTAAATATCGGGAACTAGCCACATTTTCAGCTCGGGCTTGAATGAGCTAATCACCTCCAGTACCCAGCTCAGGCCCATCAGGATGGAGAGTTTCAGGTATACCATAAACCTGAAATATAATAACTCAGGATAATTTACATAGCGCCATTTAGTCCTAAGACGAGCTTGGGTATTAAACAATTGATTCGTTAACTTAAATAAATTTCATTTTGTAAATGCATACTTAATCTAAATAAAAACAGTCAGACAAATACAAACACTCATGAACACAAATGTTTACTTCGTGCGTACAATCGAACCTGCTTCCATTGGAAGTATGTTAAACCGCTGGACCACCGAGGCCATCCTGACTATATTGTAATACATCGTTCTTCGATCAGATCAATCAGTACACCATGCTCTCTAATTTTCTTATTATATTCACTTATTATCTGTACATATGTAGTATAAAACAAAGTCGCAGCCGCCGTCTGTTCGCTTATGTCCTTTAAATTACCTAACAAAATTTAATACAGTTTTTAGCAATAGATAGAGTGGTTCAGGAGAAAGGTTTATGTATAATACATGCGTGTTATAGTGTAACAAGCCGAGAAATTAAAAAAATTGTAATGCATCCGTGCGAAGCCGGGACTGGTCACTAATTATAGTATATTACGAGTACCATACAAATGCGTTATTATGGTTATAACGCACTTCAATTTCAGTCCAAGCTGAAGGTGAGGGCGTAATAGAGTCGGGTGTTAAATCCGCGCGTTGCCTACTGACTATGTGGCGGTCAGTTTGAATCTTGATAAATAAAAAAAAATGTATATAGTGCGGTTATTGAATATACTAATTGTTTGCGTTTACAACGCAGGCATTTTATGAGCTGCTTTATATATAAAAAACCGGTGAAATTAAATACACTTTACGAGCAAGGGTGTTGAAGTATTAATTTAAGTTACCTGTGCCACTGACTGCGGTGAGCTGCTGGAGTGCCAGCAGCAGCTGAATCCAAGACAGCTGTCCCACGGCTGAGCCTCCAAACATTGTATGCCGTCATCAAATAGAATATCCAGTTGAAAGCGCTCATGATCAGCATCGGGATATACATATACACCAGTTTCTGACCTCCTGGAATAATAATGTATTTTTTTATACTACTTCGCTTGACACGTGACACCAGGGGTGTTACGTGCGCGTTGACGACCCTTAAGAAGTCTTAATATACCCTTTTTGTAAATCTCCATGCTGGGAACATTCGGCAGGTAGTTCATTCCACAATCCTAGTGTCAGCGGGAGGAAGCTCCTCTGAAACCGCACTGTCCGAGACCACTTAGGTTCTAGCATATGGGGATGAATTCCCTATCGATGGCGAGCGGTGCGATAGTAAAAGATATAATTATAATTATTTATTATTTATTTCTCCTCTCAGACATGGATGGATAACAAAAGCCTGTAGTATTTTTGATAATTCAATGCATAAATAAACTATTACAATAGTAGTGAGAAGCTGGCGTCAGAAATAGTTACAACTTGTACCTAATACAGATCAGGCCCCAAACAAATGTACATGTGACATAGGTTGAATATATCACTATATAATTTAAATCTTAAATGTAAGTAAGAAATATCGCAAATTTATAGATTATATATATCTCTATGTGAGTGAGTAAGTGAGAAAGTGCAGAATGCAAATATAATTAATTATGTTTAAAATATACATTAATTCAATAAAAAAACACACACTACTAAGTATTCAAGATATACACATGGTCTTTTATTTATTGTTAAAATCTGTGATCAACTTAAGAATAGATTAATATCTTTTGTCTTTAATATTATAAGCTTACTGAACGTGATACATAATAAAACATAATAACCATAATAAATTTACTAATTACAATATATTTACATTCATTATGGTCGAATTTCGACCTAATTTTCGATCTGCATATTGTCTTCTACGAAAAAATGTATCTATGTATTTATCACTTGTTTAGTATCCAAAACACACACTCTGTTTGGCTTAGGCCTGTATGGTGCCGTGTGAATTGTCCTGAGATATTATTATTATTACAGTTATTACTCATAATATATGTTTACAATATTACCTTCAAGGAAGCACCCTTTATCAGGTATCTGGGGGGTGATGAACCAAGGGATATGTTTGAGGTTCGTCTCGTTTACAACTCCAGCAAAAATGATGAGTCCAAGAGGTACACCCCAACCATAGAAACTGTACATGCAAAACTTAAACCACTCCCCACGACGATGGATCGGTCTGGCCTTGGCATACCCTCTGAAAAGTTATATTCTGAGTTAATTACATAAACAAAGACACAAAGAAAAGAGGAATTGGTGCCTTGTATTATTTTCCGCATTATATTACTAAATATATATATATATATATAATAAGTATAATATATATAAATATTATTATGTAATTAATTTAATATATAATTGATTACAATGTAATAGAATAAATATAATAAATGTATTAACGTAATACAAATATTATAGGATCGCAAACATTATATATTTATAGTGTTTGCGATCGCAAATAGCCATATCCATAAATTAAATTTAAAAATATAGTTATTAAATTTAAATCTGGAATCCCATGCATGAAACATTGATATTGCTTTATTTTTCTATATATACCTATACATTTTATCTCTTCCCGAACATTCCGTGGCGTCCCTATTAAATTCAGTGTACAATAAATTGTAATCACTTTTTATTTTATTACTCATAATAAAAAATTTTAACTTAAGTGATATTCCTCCAGCAAACAAATAAATATATATATATATATAATACAATCAAATTGTACGAATGTTATAATATTAATACAAGAATCAAAAACATTGAAAACAGATACAGATAGAAGTAATAAACGCACAGTTATAGTTAATATGAAATAAGGGTATAATATGATATATTTTTTTGTAAAAATGCTCTAAATATAATAATAATTTGCCTTAAATTAGTAATGAAACCTTTACACATAGATACTACATTGCATTTTACATTCACATATGCATACATATGCACTCAAGTCCTAATCAACAAAGACCAACCAATATTCAAATTTGGCATAAAGATAGCGGCCACTTTATTATAACGACTGTACACGTAGCTGGGATAGCATATTATTTTTGAGATATAAAGCTATTCTCAAAAACTAATAAATTGGTATATTTGAGAATTTTGCATACACTTCGTAGGTCATCCTTCGTAGGTCGTTCACTTCGTATTGTTTTACGTTTTTGTGAATTTATATTGATTTTAAATTTTGTTTATTCAATAATTTCATAAAGTTATATATTTCAAAATATTTTTTCAATTATTTTCTGAAAACATCGACTAGAGGAGTTTACCCTACTTATTAACTTTTCTAACATTTGACTATGTTATTAGCAAAAGAAATTCGAACCAATAAATAAAAATATAAATAGACATTAGTATATACCAAGAAAACTGACCTGAACGTCCACCAAATATCATAAGACATAATATTCATCCAGCAAAAACTCGCCATAAAAAAGTAATACACCATGAGAGCTGTAACAAAATAGATACACATTTGCATTACACATTAAAACGTGGTTTAGTGGTTTAATACCCAGTATTACGTCCAAGAAATAATGAGTTCAGATCTGGGCGACAGCAAATAAAGAGATGTCATAATTATTTAATTAATGACACCAAATTTACAAATTTACAGTTATATTGTAATAACCTATTATGTTCTTATAAATACATATATATATATAAACATATATAATAAATACGCAGCATATCTACATTACAAATATTTACTACAATCTAAGCTCGGTCGAGCCTCGTATTATAAACACTAGTTTCTTCCAACGACAACTAAGTTAACAATTAAGATCTTATTATAATATATTAAATTTTTATAATTATAACTTATGTGTCATCGATCGATATAACATCGATATCATATCAAAGAAAAAATCAAAAAATGGCTCGCACTCTATTATTTTGTTGTCAATCAAAATACACCGAGCGAAATATAATATAATTAAGTGTTGCATTCATTGAAACAACAGTTGATAATGCCTCAACCCCATTTGGGATAACAGTCATGGCCGTATGGTTTCATTGTTTTAAGTTTTAAGTGCTTTCAAAAAGGATTGATTTCAAAATCAGTTTGCGGGGACGGCTAGTATATTTAAGTCCAAATAATCATAATAATATTTAAGTATACCCAAAATAAAAAATGAAGTAAATTGTAGCTAAGAACTATCTCGATCTCTTTAGTTTTGAATAACAAAAAACGCAATAAACTGTCCATTCCCTTAGGACCTACGATGGCAAAGACACAGACACGTCTAACATATAGCACCCTTTAGCGTTGGGTTTTAAAGAATGCACACTTACTCAAACAGAGACAGCCCAGTATGGATAAATCTTCATACATCTGTATGACTGCCAGGCCTATAAAGGCCATCAGCAGACTTGCAACATACGCCATCAGAACCAGGCCGCACAGATTGCGAAGTTCGGGCAGTAAACCATAGACAAGAAGAACCAAGCTCAGGAACACGCAGGAGATTAACATTACTGCAATCAGAAGATTAATAACATATGTATTATTACATATAATATTATTTTATGTTTTTCTATATATGTTAGTGTTTAAGGTAGCACATAGTATGAAGTAGAAACTCTTCCGTACATTATAATCCGTGTAGTAAATCATTAGACTATAATGCTTTTTCTATTACGTGAACAACAAACGAACATATTCATACAAGGGATTTTAAATAATAATAATATTAGACATAGATACCTAGACAAGTACACAATACAACTGGTTATTTGTATTGTATACTTATGTAGACGTGACTTTTGAAAAAAGAAATTCAGTTGAATTTCTTGTCAGTCCTTTTCAATTGAATCTGTATATTGAACTGGATGGTAGGGAAAAATATTAACACATAAAATTTGACGTTCATAAGCGGCAAAAATGTCATACATGAATAAATGATTTTTGACCTTTTTTATTTCATTTATATGGTAACAAATTTAAACCGTATTTTACATTTTGTCATGAATTGGCTGCTTTTCATCATCTCTTCTCCTTCCACAATAGCCCATAAGTTAATTTCTGGTGTTTTGACTCTCTTATTTGGCAATACGTAGTCCAAACAGTAGTTGGAAGGAGGCACCGGGGTCCATCTGTCGAAAGCGTTTGGTAGCTCCAAGAACACCATTCCATTCTGAAAAATTGAAAAACTATTTTGATCATGGCATTTTAATTAAATCAACTTATGAAATAAAAAGATCATATCTTAAGGAAGGTGTTACATATGAATGATCATGGTTATAAGGGCAGAGTAAGACCGGAAAAAAGATGGATGGACTGTGTGAAAGATGATATGGTAAGAAAGGGAATAAATAACAAGATAACTACGAACAGGAATTAATTGAATAGAAAACCTTATTACACTGACCACAATATATGGAATAAGGAAGAAGCGTAAATTAAAAGTTAAAATAAATATAGTTCACTTATCGGTCTTAATAGGATATAACATAGGAATAATATATGCAGAAAATGTGTAGAGGAAATAATAAAATGTCTTTTCACACAAGTTGATAAATTTACAAATTAAAATGCAATGAGTACACAATTAAAAAAATTAGCATTAATATTGTTAAGATTTTTCGTTGGGACAATGTATGTATGTATTTGTGGGTGTGTATGTACTTCGGTTATCAATCGATTGGTATGAATTAGTTTACATTTTAAATAAAATATAATAAAAAATAAAACAATTAAAATTGATAATGTCGAATAGTCATTAATACAAAGTGAATCACAATAGTTGGAATTCTCCGGAATGAAGGGTCATAAATACATAGAATAATTGCATCGAGAGTTAATATAATATTAATATTCTCAACATGACTCAAACTCATACCTAACAGCTTTTTTATCACGTATGCTATTGTAGCTATAAATATTTTTTCAGTTAGAATGGCAAACAATTTGACGGTCCACCTGCTAAGTGGTAACCGGTCGCCTATATTTTTCTTATGAATGATCTGACTTCATACTTATGTTATCATGCTCCACTTGTGCCTCGCCAGCGTATACTGTTAGAACTGGAATATCCTTGTCATCCAATAAAAAAAACCTAATTCAATCGCCAGGCCGCTTGTAAAATGTATTTCCGAATGACTACTTACTACTCATTACTATCACTCGTAATACTTTCTCCCCAGTATGCGCGAGGTATGTATAGGTATGACTATTTACAATGTCCACCTATGTGCGAAATGTTTCTAAAAAAACTGGCAAGAATCATTCATTCATTATTGTGATGTTAAAAGTAAATATTTTATTTTATTTAATATATTTTCAGATGTGAAAAACATGTGGTACTGCGACCTCTCGAAGATCTATTGTGTTCGTCCTGTTAGAGTTTGCCCTAACACAATGTACCTATATATATACATAATATTGCTAGTAGTACATTTGTAATACTGTTTAAAAACAATGAAACCACCCATGTTGTAATAGATTAATTAATAATCATAATAAACCAAGTACTTACCATATAAGAAGATGTATAGAGGTACAGTTAGAGGAAAATATTAGAATTAGTTTGTCTGTAGCTCTGTATTACAAATACATATTTAATTATATATATAAATAATAATAATAATACCCTAGATAATTCACAGCGCTACCTAATCCAAAGTTAAACAGAACCTATGTTATAGTTTTACTAAACAACTGATAAAAATACAGACCACTAAAAATATAGGCTATTCGATATGTCACCATGATATTAAATGCGTGTAGCAACTTTGTACCTCATTTTACTAATATGTATGTTTGTCGGTTTGTGACATTTTCACCATAAATGATGTAACCAACCATCCTGAAAGGCAAGTATATAAGGAAATAGACCTTTGTATACTGTCTTATAATAAAGTACTTGTTACTTTGTGCCTCGTTTTAAATAGATTACAAGTCCATCGTCGTGCGTGATACACTCTATCCTCATATAAAATTTTATAGACATCCATTATGACTCACAAAAATGTAACAAAAAGATAAACAGAGACTTTCGCATTTACATATAATGTGGATTAGTAAGAATAGTTCAATTCGCTTGTAAATCCTATTATTACTATAAATAGTGATGACAGAGTAAGGATACAATAGGTGACTAAGACAGGACGTAATAGGAGGTGACTAAGGGCAAAGACTACAAATACTTAGTCAATCAATCAAGTGATTTTGTCACCTTTAGTACCAATATACGTCTTAACGTATATTGATACTAAAGGTGACAAAATCATATTAAAGCACTATATCAAACAAGGGATTGAAAGATAAAGCAAGAAATGAAGAAGTTGAAGCACACGGTGAAAGAAAAATTATTTTATTTTAGACAATGAAAGTCAAATTCCACGCGGACGAAGTCGCAGGGAACAGCTAGTTACTAATAGTACCCTCTGCCCTGATTGAAATAAGTTAAACATGCATATTGTTCAAAGTCTACCTCGCAAATTAATCTCCTATACACGATACAAATTCAAGGACAATATTGGCAGCAAAGGTGGACTGAAAAATTCGTTTGATTCTCATCTATATTTCAGCCTCCAAGAAGCGTGCTTTATAATCTGTGATTCGACTGTACGATCAGATTGGGATGACATGACATGATAGTCCTCCGGAATGGCAGTTACACGATATCGTGATGTCCGTAGTGCCGTTCATGCATATAGATGTCGGTTACCATTTACCATCACGTGGGCCGTCAGCTTGTTTGCCATTACAATTACATAAAAAAATGGATATTATTATATAAAACTTTTAGTATAGACTTTAAGGACATTTGTCTTCCGTCTGTGACAGAACATTTAAAAAATATTGCAATTTATGAGCGTAATTACTGTTGAGATGTCGCTACTTATACCATCTGCATTTGAACCAACCTTTTTTTTTCGGACTACTCTAATGCGGCAGCTTCACTAGACGATAGGGAGCGAGTGCAGATAGCACTCTAAACCCGCAAAAGGACTTATGGTGCGGCTGAAGACCAACTCCCGCATTACGGATACGACTTTAGTCTGAGGCACCGCTATGGGTTCGAAGCTCGGCTCAGGCCGTCGTATTTTCGATTCTTGTTTGAATTGGACGGGGAATCGATCGGAGGCAGGTGGTAGAATTAGGTAAATATACGGTTCTTTCTATTATTGTTCATCTTTGTATTATTTTTTAATACCCGACGCCAGAAGTGGGTTGTTATCGTTTGATGTCTCTGAGGCATCGTAGCCCAGCCCTTTAACAAATGAAACCGATTGTGACGTTTCTTTTTTGTTTGAGAGCTGATATGATCCAAGTAGTTCTTAGTTTTAACTTTATGACGATCAGTTCGAGCGTTTTAAGGTCGATTCCGATTTTTAAAGGTTTTCTTTGTCTCTCGATGTAACTTTTTTCTAAATGTTTGTTGTCATGTTAAGTGAATTATATGTAATTCTAAATTAGAATTAACATGTACAATTGTACACCCTATGGGGTATCTTAGTTCGCCATAATGACGCACAAGAGTCTTATTATATGTAAAAACATTTTAATAAGGTACATTCTGTTGATATACTCATATTAATTATTTATTTATGACATTAAATTTATCAGTGAGTTGCGGTTTGTGTACCATTTTGTTAACTACGGATGTTATAAAAATAAATCAATAATTCTATAAAATGGTTTACAGTACTAGTATTAGAGTGTTGAGTAAATTTTTGTTTCTGTTATGTTGATCTGTATGTCTGTGTGTAGATAGCGGTTCTCCCTCAGATTTGGGGGGATTAATAAGATTGATAGTAAAACTATAATAATAATTGAAGATCGGGCGAAAAATGGTATTCTGATTAGCAAACCGGTCGAAATATCTAAAAAATAGTTCCTGCTGAAAACAGGGCCACAGATTTCTTATATTTGGAAGTAATACCTGATAGTCTTGTGGCAACATTGAAGTGTAGAAAACGCTATAGTGTAGAAAACGCTAATAAAACAATTTTAGTATCCACCGAATAATTAAAAAAACTAATAAATACCATCTCCGTCACATTAGCATTCAAACAAAAAAGTGACTCAAAATGGATCCATTTCTTTAGTTATAATAATAAGCATGGACAATTCAAACATAATTTAATGCCAAAATAAGTATAGCCTGTATTTGTCAGATATTATGAACTAATATGTAGGTAGATAAATAATAAATACTCTAATGTGTCATCTTTGTACAAAAGAATAAAGTATCATTCACAGCCTACACATGTTGTTTGAATAACGTAACAATATTACGGGTACTAGACAACTGATACAATAACTTTGATACATTTTTTTTTAATACAAACAATCGTGTTTGTACCGTGCTTGGAAACGAACCCTCGACTAGAGGATGTAAGGTGGGGTATTAAACCGCTGGACCAGACGAGGCCGTCAACGATAAATATAATTATTTATAGGTGGGCACATGTAATTAATTTATTCCACGACTTCCTTCAATTATTTTGTTCTAAGTACGAGTAAATATGATAACAAAGAGTCCGCAACAGGAAAAAATACCCATAGCAAGAGTGGGACTTCAATAACATAGGACTGAGAATTATTATTACTAATAATAATAATAATACTTTGTATTATGCTCAGAAAAATATTTACAAAAAATAACTTTACATAATACATTTATGTAAAAAATGGCAGCTTTATCGCTTAAAGCTTTTATATTTTACTTCTGTAACTATAAGTAAATACTAAAAAGTATAATCGTAGTATTTGGATATCTCTTCCATCACTTAGGTACTTCTTTTAACAATGCAACTAATTTTCGTAGTGTTTTACTATAATGTCAAACTCAACCCTTCTCTGGCAATACATTTCAGGACAGACCATTGAACTTGGCACCCATTTAGATCTCACCTCTTTTGTCGTAGAAGTCAACAATCAAGGCATATATCATAATATTAAACTCGGCTATCATTTCACATTTATGTTTTTGATGGGATATCATTAATTTTTGTACATAAATTATACGAGGTACTTATTTGTAACTAAATTAATACCAAATTATTTTTGATAAACTACTGTATTTTCGTATGTTTATGGGGTATAATTGTCTTTTTTTGTGTTATTTTCTATATTTTCTTGTAACTTTTGCATTGCCAATTCAGTATCAGGAATTTTTGGCCAAATTGGGGCGGTATAACGTCCACAGATGGTTGTACTCTACAATAGAGCTTTCGTGACTTGGATCTAAATTGTTAAGACGTACTCCATCTAAGGTTTTAACTTTGGAGAGTCCAACGTAAGCCTGCCCTTTATCAAATATAGAGGAGCCTATGTTGAGAAGAGGACTGTCAAAACTAAGGCCTTGTGATTTGTGGATAGTAATAGCATATGTTAAGCAAATACGGAATTGTTCCCTGTCAACATATACATTATTTAATATCTGAAACTTGGTATTGACTCGTTATAGTTCGTAAAGACGATTATGTAACAAATTGACTGTTATCTATTGAATTCTCAAGAAAAACAATTTGTTACCAATGAGTTCTCATTCTCGAGTTAACTACACATTCCTACTTATAACTATACTAAAATTGTTATTAATTTTTGGTTTAAACTATTGTCTATACCATAGGTATTTACTAAAATAATGTAATAATAATATAACCACAAATATATAAGTATAATTTAAGAAAACTATGAATTCCGTAGCATGTATCGCAACCTTATAGGTTAGATATGAAGAGAAAACTAAACATTGAGACGTTTGAGCTTTCGCGCTTATGAGGGCGGCTGCCATTCGCTCGGACAGGTTCGCGTCAATGTTTTATCGCACCGCTCGCACATGACGCCCTATACCGAAATGCCTATTATTTAATAATTATTTATAAAAATAATGATCTTACACTATCGATGTGCGCTAAATATTGAAATAATAATTAATACCAAATCTCAGTTAATAACATAATAAATACGAAATTCGACTATACTCTTAGTTATAAGTACGAGTATAATTTAGGACAGAATCTAAATTATAGCAACTAGTGTTTACCGCTCAAGCTGCAACCGCTGCTAGTTATCGACACTGACACTGATGTGAAAGGGTTAACGTAAATTGGGAATGATCGACGTTTTCATGCAATATTACTTTCCGTCCAGTACAAGATAACCTATTTGGTAGCCAGGGATCAACGTCAATTGGTGGGTATTGACGTTTTCATACAATATTACTTTCCGTCCACTACAAGATGAGCTACTTTTGCCAGGGATTAATGTTAATTCATGCCTATCGACGTTTTCATACAATTTTAGTATTCGTCCAATATAACTTGAAATAGAATCAATTAAAGTGAAAAATTATAATAAAATGATAACAATTTACCAGTTTCATTTTTTCCTTTATATTCACCTAATTACCTATCTGGATGCCAAATTTGAACTTCCTAGGTCATCTGGAAGTGGGTTCTTACCTTATTTAGATATTAACGTCTAAATATCGTCATTTTTATCACTGATCAACTATAGATCAAAATTAATACCCACTTCCAGACGACCTAGGAAGTTCAAAATTGACCGTTTGAGATATGTTTATGAAATTTGGAACACATATTTATCTCGCAAGTCTATATATGAACCAAATTTGACAGGTTTATCTGAAAGAGTTTTTGAGTTATGAGGGGGTCAAAAGTGGCTCCAAATGGTTCGTGTAAATATACACACGGTACCGCTCGCCAGTTCTCTTACTTTAAACTCGGCTTTGCCGATTGCTACCGACTGAAAATTTGTAATATTGAAATAACCAATATGTAATACACCAAATTTTTTTTTTTAAATTGTTGTTGGTCTGTCTGTTTGTTCCGGCTAATCTCTGAAATGGCTGGGACGATTTCGACGGGATATTTTTGGCAGGTAGTTAATATAATTAGTAGTAACTTAAGCTACTTTTATTTTAGAAACATTATTTTTTTTTAGAAAAATAAAGTATAATTCCACGTGGACGAAGTCGCGGGTACAGCTATCTATACATATAAATAGAATTGGAGTTTCTGTTTGTAATATTGAAATAACCGTTTTTTACTACATGCATATGAATATAAATACGGTATATACAGCAAAATATATATTTTTTTTTAATTGTTGTCTGCCTGTCTGTTTGTTCGGGCTAATCTCTGAAATGGTTGGCCCGATTTTAACGGGACTTTCTGTGGCAGGTAGCTAATGTAATAAGTAGTAACTTAGGCTACTATTTTAGAAACATTATTTTATTTTAGAAAACTAAAGTATAAATCCACGCGGACGAAGTCGCGGGTACAGCTAGTCATATATAAAACTTTTATTCAATAAAATTAAAACGTACTAACATATTTAAACTATTTAGTACAGTCAATTGTCACTTTCTCTCAAATAAAAGGTTCTTTTGGTAGGGAAATAATAGCACATATCAATAGCTTTTTTTTTTATACCACTTAGGTGGCAATCAAGCATACGGTCTATCTGATGGTAAACGGTTACTGTAGCCTATGGACGCCTGAAGCACCAGGGGTGTCACATACGCGTTGCCGACCCTTAAGAAACCTTAATATACCCTTCTTGAAAACCCCCATGCTGTAGTCTCTCGAGAAAACCTCGGCAGGTAGTTCATTCCACAATCTAAGTGTACGCGGGAGGAAGCTCCTCTGAAACAGCACTGTCCGAGACCACTTAGGTTCCAGCGTGTGGGGATGAATTCCCTGTCGATGGCGAGCGGTGCGATGGTAAAAGGTAGCCGTAGGCATCATGTCAAACAATTCATCAGAACACAGTCCGTTGTATGTTCGGTAGAACACACAAAGCGATGCGAAGTCTCGCCTCAAGCTAAGTGGTTCGATACCGTTAGAGAGATTGGGATCATCGACAATTCTCATAGCACGTCTCTGAACCGAGTCAAAAGGACCAAGCTGGTATCCAGGTGCTCCTGCCCAAAGATGAGAGCAGTACTCCATGTGCGGCCGAACTTGCGACTTATACAATAGAAGTCTCTGGTTCGCAGTGAAGTACCGCCTCGCTCTATTCAGCACACCGAGCTTTTGGACGCCAGCTTGACCTTTTCTTCGAGATGACTACGGAACTCAACTGTGCTAGAGATGTCGACACCGAGAATCCCAATGCTCTTAGAGATGGTAATGGACGTGTTCTGGAATTGCGGAGCCACAGCAAAAGGGGTTTTCTTAGCGGTGAACACGCAGGCTTGTGTCTTGGTAGCTAAATAAAATTATGAAATTAAATAAAAATTCCATAACACGGTAAGTGTTATGGAATTTTTATGGAAAAAGCTATATACAAGTTTGTATTCGAGAGTGTTGTGGCCTAGTGGGAGAGGATTACCAATATAAAAAAATTATACGTATCTGTTTACATTTCTGACTGACTCTCCGGTGAAGGGAACACCGACAATAGCCGAAAAAAGTTGGATTAAAATATACTAATCCAAACATATATATTAATCCAAACTACACATTCGTATGTGTAGTTTGTAATAATAATAATAATAATCTCAGGACGATTCATTGGAACTGGACGGGAGGAAAAAAATTATAGTATAAAAATTTTACGTTCATAAGCGACCTAAATGTCCTATATAAATAAATGATTTTTGAATATGAATTTGAATTTCTAGTGTTGTTCACGAATATAGGCAGCCTCGGTGGTCTAGCGGTTTAACACACCGCCTTACTTCCGATGGTCGCGGGTTCGTTTCCCCGCACGGCACAAACATTTGTATTCATAAGTATGATTGTATGATACAATTGATATAACTACTTAGATATTTTTATATTTCTTTAGTAAATACATACATAATATGCATAATAGGTAACCTAAGTCGATTTAAAAGAAACGGAGCAAATTATAACAATTAAAATTAACACAGTGTTACTAACTGGCAGAAAGCTGAGTAACCCAATGTGAGGAACCTAATATGCTAAACTAGGTATTACACCTATGCTATAGGTATCGGTGCTCTCTTGTAATATGTACTGTAAATTATTTTTTTTACCAGTTTTAATAAAAAAAAAATAACAATATGGTTTTAAAATTATTTGATCACATGTGTCGACTTCAGTTCATTTGTGAAGCTGCATAATATAACTTTACTATATAGTTATATTTAAGGTTATGTGTGTATAGTCATATATCTTAATATACAAAAGAAGAAAATAAACTATGTATTAATGATTGTATACGAAAAATTATGAGTGTTGTTTTGAATAGTAAGAGCTATGTATGTGTAAAAGGGGTTTTGTGTAAATGAAAAGGACGTGTACAAAAAATGTGGAAGTATTTTACACACGTTAGTGTAGAGGATTTGTGACTAATATAAATTCATAATAACTTCTTCCAGTAGGTTCCACATGGTAAATGGTAACCATCGTCTATATTCTTTAAGAGCGGTAATGCATGCCATTCTTTGCTATGGCGGAAGATTAAACTGTCATCCCTTGATACCCTGTACATATCACTATGCCATATCTCCCTTCAACCCAAACAGTTTATAAAGAAGCTGTTCTGTGGTAGGCTGTTCTACCTCAGTAGCTACCGACGCAAACAAAGTTTACCACAAGAAAGGTATAAAAACATAATTGTACAAAGAGAGAACTATATAAAGCCTATAATAAGTGTAAATTTAAAATATATTAAATATTAAACTTACCTTCAACAAATAAATGTTGTACAGCCGATTCATATTGAATGATAATTTTTGGAAAGTCGCATTTTTAAATTTATTCGGTACCAATGCAAAATGATCCGTAAAGTTGATATCAGTTTTGTATATATTCTTATCGAAAACCGGATAGTCGGTGAACAACAACGTTTCAGTATAGTTGCCACATTTCTTTTTATTCACATACATATTCATAGGGCAGCACTTTGGTATACACAATTTTCTTTGGCAAATAGTCTTATCGAAATCATCTTCCAGTATCGCTGATAAGACGTTGATGGAAACAATATAAATGAATAAAACAAGTTTAAAATAACACCCTCCCATTTTGCGTATCTCCGTGTACGCCGCTACAAGTATAATAAGTTGAGCAAAGGGACTATATACAGTACTAATTAGTTTTGCTGAATTTGTTTGCTTCATACAGCGGAGGATTTCAGTGTGACGTGTCAAGCCTGCCCTACTTCCTCCTCATCTTTTGTTCAGAATACTAGCTGAGCCCGCGACTATGTTCATAAAAATATTTTTGGTTTATAAATCGATTGGAACAAAAGAAACACTAATATTTAGGTGAAGGTTAACACAATACATTTACGTAAATCGATTAAATCCTTTCTGATATTCAAATTTTAAAAAAACTATTGTTCATGTAGTACATTTTAACCACTTGTAAATATCAAGTTTTTTATTGGAATTTTTTTCTTGTTCCTTTGTCCAGTTCAGTTATTACTTCAGCACTCAAAATCGTACATACAAATAAACATACCAAAATTCTAACTATATAATTACTTTACCATCTTTATTAATTATTATTTTTTCAAATAAATTGATTATTTATTGATACAGTAAAGTTTTCCTCTTTAATGTACAGACAGCAATCAGTAACATTTTTTATGTAGATATATGTATGTATAATACATGTACATAAAAAAACAATATATACATCATAATATACATATAAATCAAGAATACATAAAGGCTCTAAAGCTCTTATTCATAAAAATCAAATGTATCAAATTGATATATCTAATGTATAGCTTATAATATGAACTTTTAATCCATATTTTAAAAGAAAATGACTAAACACTGTACGGGTTAAAATAGGTTTGGTTTTTATAAAGCTATTATTTCAATAGTGTCCATATATATGTATAAGACATAAAGAAATGCATATTTTCACACAATAAAATTTTAGAATATGCTGACAAACTTTTAAAATCAATTTAAACAAACAAACGCAAATTTATGAAAAGCAAATATGCAATGCTGTAAAGTGACCTCTGAATTTTTGTTGGGCGAAAATCATCTACGACCAACAACTTTAGAAAACCTTGTATTTTAGTCATTATGATACAAGACCTACAAATCTGTTAGAACGAGGTTTGCAATCGATGTCTTGACTGGCTGTTATGGCAGATGAAGTATGTTTGAATATTTGAAAAGAGAGTGTGTTTTGTCATCTTGTCTGTCGTCGTATTGATGTATCTATAACTTATATGTATATTGTATTAAATGTGTTTTTATATTATTTTATCTTCATTAGAAATATATTTTGATTATCTTATTCTACGTTATTTACTTGAACACCACTATAGTTACTCTGTTAACGTGAGAAGTTCAGAGGTAACTGTCCTCACAAAATCCCATGTTAAAAAATATTCTACGTAATGAAAGTGTGTATAATTACATATATAAATTACAACGACTTGATTTACCTCCTAATAACTATTTTAATGAGAATTCGCTTGTTATTGCTTTATATTCAAGTGACCTGATGAATCAGGTGTGTTTATTAGCAGCGATTACTGCTGCGGTTTACTCCGTGTCCGAATTCATGTTTAGCGAAGGAAAAAGTAGGCAAAAAATATATATACAATTTATTTTAGTTGAACAACAATACCGTAGTAGCATAGACTATATATATTTGACGGCCAAAGAGGTCACGCAGTTTAGCACACCGTTTTATTTCCGATAGTCGCGGGTTTGATATCTCTCAAACATTTGTATACATGTATCGGTCTGGATGTTTTCTATTTATAGTATGTAGATATTTATAAATAAAAGTATATATGCATTTATATCAGTCGTCTAGTATCCATAACACAAGTTTTTCTTAGTTTGGGAGTAGATGGCACTGTGTGAACTGTGTGTAATATATTTTTCTAACGTATTGATGTAAACAGAAGTACCAATTTGTATTTATTTTTCATTTATTTTCGTATATTATATAAAAATCTTCTTTTATTTTATTGGAAATTTTAGAACAGTGCTATATATAAAATATACATTTTTAATATTACCATTAATACCTATATATTATAAATAAACGGTGCTGTGTCTTTTTTGTCAAAAATGTAATACCTCTAATAATAATAACCCCTGGACGATTCACACAACGTGTAAATACATACATAATATAGATAGGAAACACAGTTAATAATATAAATTTAAAATAATACAGCACTAAAGCATCAAGCCACAATTACGCACATAGATACCCACATAATATTTTATTTCTTCCTTTTTATGATAATATTGCGAAATAAATATAAAATAAATTATGTTATTACCACAGATAAGATAAAGTACGAAGTATTTAATAATACCTACTTCCTACATTATTATTTTTTATCTGTAATGTACTTATTCGCTGTATACTATATACCTTCAAGGCAATAATCCCAGAAGAGGTAGTCGTACTTTAAAAAGTGATTATCATTTTTATTTATTTTTTACATGTCTGTTAAGTGGTATTTTCTTCAATTCTATATATATATTTAGTATTAATATGTAAAGAATATATATTTTTGATAAAACAAACACAGATTTATTGTTAGGTTACATACAGAATACCGACACATTACGCCGACCCAAAATAAATGGGATAAGGAAAAATCAGATGATGATGATACCGACACCGATTCATATGGTCTGAGGACATTATTAAAAATAGAATACATATTTAATTTAACATTAAATATATGCGCTTGATATATATAAATATTTTTTTAAGTCAAGATAACCGTCGTCTAGATCTTATTCTTGGACAGCGACGTGTCATCATTAATTTGTCTTTTTCAGTTATTTTTTATTTATACCTCAGTTTTATTGCACTGCAATCAAAGCATAGTAATTACTATATTAATAATTCCTATTTAACTATGTAATTATATTATTAGTTATTATTACACAGTTAAGTAGGAATTGATATTTAATTCCCTAAAAAACACAAAAGCAGGAATCCGCTTGAATATGTCTATTATCAAGAAGTAAAATTCAAATAGACTGTATAAGTAGGCTGCCATAATACGCGATTACCCATGCCGTCGAAAGGCAGTGTCTATATTCAGTCACTTCGAATTAAATTGAAAAAGTAAAATAATAAATGCATTTTTTAAATACTTTATTAGAAACATCCAAATAGTACATAGATAACTAATTAATTATACGACTAGAACATCCGTTATAAATAAAAATATTATCATCAATAAAATTATTCCCTACTTACTGTATTTAATATTTTTATACTGTTTTTAACTTCTAATAGTCATTAGTAACAGCCGTAAGGTGATGTAAAAGTAGAAAATGTATACCTCCCGGTCTGCTTTAGAAAGTAATTCCGATTCAATAATATTGTATTCACATATTTTTATGCCCTTGCATTATATTGAACTATTTGATCGATAATATTCCTGAGGAGATAAAAACCATCGCTCCTAAGAATATCCTTCAATTCTTGTCCCTGACAGGACGAACTAGGTAACGAACTTCGAAAAAGAGCAAATACAACATATCTATGTACGTTGCAGTGCTACAACTCTAAAGCACCTGACAATAGCCCAAACCCGTCAATAAAGAAAAATATCTATTTATTCAGTTCAGTTTCAAAATAACAATACAAAACAAAAGAAATGAAATCGATATTGGGTTTAATCTCCAGAGCAGATCTACTGAAGTATTATATAATATCATAACTAAGTAATAGAATAATATATATATGTAATACTACCTATGATAATTATACATAACAAATAGTGTAATAAATATATATATGCGAAATTACTCTGTCTAATGCGTATGGCGTAATGTATAGACGATGGTGTTCTAAACATTATAATGTATTATAGTTAAATATAAGCAAACGGGTCCTTATTCTTCAAGTACTTTCTCCTTTCCTCCACAGTGGCGGACTAAGGCTAAAGCGAGCTAGACAACAATTTAATTCCAAGTCTATTTTTCAGTCATGACAAATACTTTGCGTTTCTAGTTTTAAAATATACGGCTCTAGGTAAGTACCTAGGTTGCTTAGGCCTTAGTCCTCCCCTGCTGCCACGTGACCTTCCCAAAGGCATAGAGTACTAAGGTTCCACAACTGTACAACAGTGAAGTTTAACTTCCTCATTCGTCTTTAAACTTTTTGTCCATATGGCCTTAATATTTATAACAAAATAATATTTTAGTGTCATGTACTAGAAAAAAGGACTCTCCGAATCACTTAATATAAGTCATTCTTCAAGTGTCTAGAGTCTGCCTCAGAAGCAACTATACAACTGCCAGCTGTGTTGAACTCGTTATGTGACATGCTTACAATTTGTTGAGAATATAATAATATTGTTTGATTATTCTTCTAATATCTTAGCAAAGTTAAAATTAATTAAATTATAAATAACTTAGAAGTTATATATAAGTTAGACCAACACTTTTCAATACTATAATATTTTATAAGTAAATTCAAAGTTTTAGTTTCACTGGCTGGAAACTATTCGTTTGTAAACAATTAAACTTCCTACAATGTCAACATGTAACCGTCTTAGGAATTTCACAACGAGGTGACTTTTTTATGAATATTTAATTTCTAAATTTAATTACGTAGAGCCCTTTTTTCAGCTACATATAGTTTTACAAGTGGTCCCTTTTGATGAAACGTTTTATTAAAATCTCTTATTTAATATTATAACACTTATGTCTTATTTCAATTTATTTTTTACACACACCACAAAATGCATAATTAATCAGTACACGTAAAATACACATTAAGCACTTATCCTATTTACTTGCTTCTTAGAGAGGTAGATTGGATTACTTATGAAAAGTTTATAAAATATACTTAGTCATATTCAAACTAAAATATTCGAACCTACGAATATCCTCTATATGAAACTCTGACATATATCAATCTATTTCCACGTCAATTTTCACTACATGTGTACGTGACATCCCTGCTGTTTCAGGCATTAATATACTACGGTAAATGTTTACCATCAGATGAACGGTATGCTTGATTGCCACAACTGTGGTACAAACAATAAACTTAAATCAATTCCGACCTTTTGTTACCAATTTAAACCCGAAACAGCGATGAACCCCGATAATTACATTGTTTTTAACAGATTTACAATATATATTTATACAATTTGTTTAAAATATGTAACGTACATGATAACATTTAAAATAGCAAGTATTAATAACACATTTACTTATAATATTTAAATATATTTTTAATTCAAACCTCATCTAAATTAGAAACAAGTACCATTATCATAATAATTTGATTATCACAAAAAAATGTGTTTGTGTGTAAATACAAAGTCGAAGTTTTCTCATACATAATATAAAAACGGACATGTTAAGTAACATTAATTATATAAAAAAACATTGTTTTAAACAAGATTATTATATTATCATCTATAAGCAATTATAAGTATAGAACTTATAGTTGAGAGGATTTTCGATTCCGAGGATTTTTCTGTTCAAATTCATTGAAAAATATGAAAAATTATGACTGAAAATCCCTTAATATATATTATAATTCATTTAAATGTGATAATGTTATTAAGCGCTAATAGTATAAATGCAACGGTGAGTCTGTCTCTCTCATCGTTATGTTTTATTGTTCTCACTATAGAAATTACATAAAAATTTACTGAGTTAACGATTTATATATGTTATGTTCCAAATTCCAAATATGACTATATAATTACTTTACTGTTTCAATAGTAATTAAAATATATTTTTTATTACTAATCTATTATTTTTATTATTTTATTATTATTTTCCAATAACTATTTTTATTGGACTATTTCTTAACAATGTGTGATAGGCGAGACGTTCTGACGAATGCGCTGCGCCCAAAAATACTTCCGGTTAAAGTGACTGTCGCGAACTATGAAAGAATAGTAACAGTAGTTCATTCAAATCCCGCACAAAATATTATTGTAAAAAGGAACAGATATTTTAAAAATAATATAGTGATAGGTCTATAATAGGAATACTAAATTTAATTATACAAGTATGTAAGCTATTTTAAAGTTGCCATTTTATAATAGTAAACACCATAGAGAATCCTAATTTGAAACCTAAATAAGTCCCTGAATTGGACTACATATAATAATAATAAAGGATACGACATTCTATAATATTATGTCACATTTAATTATAATAAGTAAGTAATAATAATTATAATAATAAGACTATTAGTCTTAAATGTATAGGAGGCATATCTAAAGTACTTAACAGCAATTGTCATGTTATTATGAATGAGTATTTTTGTAGACAATACTACTATTGTAATGGCTAACATAGGTAAACGATATGAGACGATCAGTATCAAGTTTTCACATCTAAATAAAAATGCAAAAGACATCTCTATGTACGAATATTCCCAATCTAAGAACATATTCATACAAATGTATAAGTTATGTATAAGTATATTATTAGATGTTAAGTTTACATATAAATATAATTATTTTGTGTGTTATTATAATAAATTGTTGTATAAATTTGTGTATTATTTTTAAAACCTATGTTAATTTTTGCACTAATATTATTGTAACTATATACGGGATCTTAATAAACTTAGTATATTTTTGTCTCGCATCATCATTAATTAAAATATAATGCCTTCAGTAGGATTAATTCTTAAAATGTGTACAAGATGAGAGAGCGTCCTGTACTCATCCTGCAGAATATTTCTGGGTGAAGTCAAAACAATTATCGTAAAAGACGAAAACATAGAAAATTATTTAAATTTTATTAAATCGTTTCAATAACGTTAGTGCAAAAATTCAATATACAATTTAATAATACACAAACGCCTGACAGAAATTACATATCAAATCTGCAGATAAACTTCATTATATGAAACGCGTAGAGAAATTTAGCAGTGATTGCATCTCTTTACATTTCCACATTTTTTACACTTCACATTTCTCTAATAATCTGTGAATGCTCGTTATAAATTTCGTTTGGCTACAATTGGTCTAAAATATTTAGAGTGAGGCAAGTTGCATTAATATATAAAACATACATTATTCATATGTACTACATATAACATACATTTACGATACCTTTTTCATGCCTTCAGATTCTAAAATATCAAAAATGGATTTATGAAAATAATTTCGTCTGAATTATTATTATAGTTTGCAGTAAAAGCAGTTTATAAACTGTCATTCAATATTATAATATATATTTGAATTTGTATACAATGATTATTTATTTTTAGACTTGATCAAATATATATAAATTTAAAAAAATATTTTCTTGTCGCTCTTTAGTAAAATTTTATTCTTTAACATATCATGTCTCACTTAAATAGACACAATATGGCTTCAGTTTACTGGCAATCTCAATATTGGCTGTTTAATTGACTCCATTATTTACTTGTTGTGAGACTTGATTGAGTTCATCTGCATATCATCTCTCGTGGATGCTGTGCGCGAGGACATCGTTGTTTGGGTCCTGGACATCGGATCGCCTCGCAGTTGCTTGTATCTGTTATAAACATGTCAGAATTTAATTTAATAATTATTATTTAAATATGAGATATATAGTCGAAAGTTTTTTTGTAAGGAAGCATTTATACAAATATTTACTGTAATTATTACTATATTAAGTTTTTAGTTTACGCTTGGTGCGTCAGGCGTTTATAGGCTACGGTCACTGTTCATCAATAGATGTGGTGTATACTTCATTACCACGACTGTGGTACAAAAAACTAAAAAAAATTCAACCTATACATCCTATCTCGATACAGGCAGTCTATAACTATATATATCATAAACAGGAAATTTTACTTTGTTTATTTGTAATGCTAAATCTAAAACAAAATTAACATTTATTAAATTATTTGATCTATATAGTATACATCAGCTACAACATGTGCTGTATTTTATTTTCAACCAATTACAAAATCTCTACAATAATTCCAACAGTCGGCCGGGGCAGGTCGGCAGTATGTACAAAATATGCCGATGATGTCAAATTGTTATTTCATTCAAAATGTATTAGTAAGTACAGAGCTAATTAATACACAAAATATAAGATTAATTAAATGAAAGTAAACAAAATAATGTAATTAATATCATACTAGTTATTACTTCTTATTATTCTCTTGAATGACATCTTGAAGCAAATTGTTAATCACTTTAAAGTAACATATATTTTAGTGGGTTAATCAAGACGAAGATTTTAGTTACACGGTATTCTTGAACATATACATGAAGCGTGGCAGATGTTGAATGGTGTGGATGTATTTACAGAATGAATGATCTTAAGTGTTGTTGTTGTTAATTGTTAATATATTTTTTTTACTTTCTTTTATAACTATTGGTTATACCAAATTAATAACAACCAGTGCTACCTTGTGAAAACGATTTCATTCGTATTTGCGCAACGGTAATGAAATATTGAGAATTGAAAGATCAGCGGTTATATGATTTCATTTCTTCTTTAACTAGTAATTAATTATTTTATATCCATACGCAGTATTTACATTTTTAGATAATTTATTAAGTGTTTTTAATTAATATTACACATATTTACAAATTAGAATAGGAAGCTAGCGGACGATACAATTAATGCATCCTGGTTATTCACATATTATATGCATTTATTTTTGAGCGCTGGACAAACTTGTAAACAAACTCGGACGGCACAAGCACTCTTCAATACATACATCAACTCTTGGTGCTCTTGTCCCCTTCTCCCACCCTGACTCTCATCACTTCCTGATTCTCTTAATGCGTTCCGGAACCCAAGTCTAAAATATATGGGGCAATGGAGATGTTAAAAAATGACAATATATTATTAACGGTTAGACTTATCCATTCCAAAGACCAGAGAAATAATGAAGACCAACTTCCCAGAAAAGTAACAAAAGACGACAGCGAAAATATTTTACATGATTAAATAGAAAAGTAAATAATTGTTTAGTTTAACCGTAGTTAGACAATAAAATAGTGCATAGTGTAACAAATAGAGATAATAGTGGTTTAGTAGTCACACAACGTAAAATTCCTGGAATGAATTAAGTTTCATTATATTCAGATTATCATTGTCAATGAATAAAACTTATAAATTAGTGGGTGGGTGCAAGTGTTGAATTAACTATAAAATTAAAACATTATAAAGTACATTAGGCTGTGCTCCTAAATTAAAAATATCACACACCAATGAAGTCCTATGTAATATTTACACAATATTTTTTCCTCTCGAAATACACAACACCAGAAGCTGATCTGTTATTAACACCATCCAGTTATAATGTCCATTTTTCTTCCTCAGTTTACTAGTAAGCTGTTTTGACACGTTAAGGTGCAAAAAGTTAGTGTTCATTAAGCTTGTATAAGTTTTTGTTAATTTTTAATAGAAATGTAATCCACTACAATCCGGAAATCATTAAAAGATTTATATTATACCTCGTAGTGGCAACGTCCATTGTTTCTTAGGTTCTTTTCTAATATGCATGTTCTATCAATATTATATTGCTAGACTACTGTACTCTTTATCGTATCCAATCTCTATTATGTAATTATTATTATTTCAGGATTATCACATTTCAGAATTCAAGATTATGTTTTCTTAAGGTGTGTATGGATTGAATAATCTTATTCTTAAAAATCATCTTTCTCTCTAATTCATTTCATTGTATTGTCTGAGATAAAGATCTCACATATGAGATTCTCTTAATATCCTAGTAATTTTCTTTTATTATTTCTTCACTGAGTATTAAACATCTGGTATCAACACTGGGGTAGATCTTCTTTCAATAATCTCAGATTTTAGTGAGTACTGTCTTGTTAATACCTCAATTTATGAATTTATTGAAATCTTGTCAAAAAGCCATAAAGTTTTTCGATATAACAGAAATAACGAAACAAGATATAGCTAAAATATTTTAATGTTTTGAATATCCTACTATATTATAATATTTTCTATAAATGAGCTATTTTAATACTATCTGAATCCTGTCCACATGTCGTTCTTATCGTCTCATCACTTGTTCTAATATCACGGTTTTGTTTCGAGTTATTTAAATTCTTATTAATTATCGTTAAATTTCCAACTTCACTGTTGCGTCGTTGAAATTTGTCTTTGATCCTGGATATAGAAGGAATATACAAATTTAATCACGTGACTAATAAAATCTTCTTTTACCGACGAAGGAGCTGTGCTACATAATAAAATTAAAAACATCAGCAGAAACAACATGCAATTCTACATATATAAAACGTTTTCTTTAAATTGATACATATTATAGTATAAATAAAACATTAGACATAACAAACATATCTAGTATAACTGTACTAGGAAGCTTACCTCTTTTTAATAAGCCTGAATATTTTCCTTTTGCAGACGAATATTATGAAAATGATCAAGCCTAAGAGAACGTTGTAACCATCGGTGAATATCCAGAAGTCGTCTAACTCAGGGTAAATAGCGCTAATAACTTCGAGCAGCCAGCTTATACCCATCACGACAAACAGCTTGATATAGAGGGACAATCTGGAATTAATTTACAATTCATATGGAAAAACTGTATTAATACTTTCTAATTTAAGTTACACTGGTATTGATATGTCCGTATAAAAGTAATTTCATTTCAAATATATTTTAGAATCTTTAGAGTATAATCATTATCTAATAATGTAAATGATTTATACGCGTGTTTTGAATCGTGATCATAATGACGATATCGATATTTTCTTATACATGAATTGATACATTATTATTCTAATAGATTTGTATTGCATATATAATAACATTTACTTGATCAGTGCAAATATATACTTGAGCGTAGTTTCCATTTTAATTGCTATTGAATCTATACTGAGTATAAAGTTTTAAATATTTAATTATTATTACCTTTGTTTATCATTTCTTTGACTGTCGTGTGTAGAGCTCTCTTTGGACTTCAGTACGGAGGTTTGTTTCTTGATTTGCGCGATTTTCAGCGCAGTCAGTACGAAAAATATGAGGTTTGCAATACACAGTATTACGAGAGGTCCGTACAGGTATATAAGTCTGGCATTGCCTAAAATCATGAATTAGAAATATACCTAAAATCATCAATAAGATCTAGCATATTATCATGAAAACCCCATTTGAAGTAGACTCAATCCTTTTAAATGTCTATTAGCTACTGATAACATTAACACTAATAGAATTAAATACCTAATCTAATTCATATAATTGAAAATGTAATTAACTGATTGGATCCACCAAATTAGGTATACGTATCAACGTCAACGATCATGTGTTCTAAATGTAGATCTAACGAAGGTTCCTTTTATAATGTAATCATACATCTTCTTTTTTGTAAATTTCAAATACTGTTTATTTGAAATTTACAAAAAAGAAGATGTATGATTACATTATAAAAGACAATAATTGTTGACAATAATTATGGAGTTAATGATAGATGCAATTACCATGTATAAAGCAGCCTTGTTGTCTCAGCTGAGGTAGTAAAGGGTGCAATGGTAGGTTTGAGAACTCCAACGCTGCCAACAGTATCGTTAACGCAGTTGGTATCCCAAACGCATAAAGAGCGTACGCGTAGAATCGTGCCTTGGTTGATAATTTCTCGAACGTAATACCACGTTTTCCACTGAAAATAATAAATTTTAAAGATAAATAATTATTCCAATCTATTACATCAGACCGATTACTAGTTGATTTGAAAGATAGGTGCAGAAATGAATAACGGCGTTTGCACAGCGACGCCTACAGCGTTTAGACATGTAAATTGTAGTAATAAATGTAATTAATTATTCAAGATGTAGAATACAAGTGGAGTTAGATAAAATAATGTTAGAAGCCGAGGTCATAAGTTTCTATAATCGACAAGCTAGTATGACACAGATTTTTTTAAGAAAAGGACTTACAAAATTCTAAGTAGGATGAAAAACAAAATGACTCATGACAATTATGATTCCGTTAAGTACTTAAAAACAACACTCGCTCATAATGTCCAAGGACAAAATGTATCTCGGAAATATTTTGTGGTTGTTAAATTATAAGTAATTTAAAATATTTAGTCCGTATGTACAGTATATTTCACTAAAGTTATAAAATTGTGCTGACAAATCAATACGACTCTATAATAGTTACTCTGCCTTACGACATTTTGCGCAGCAGTATTGCTATTATCTTGTAAACCAGTGAAATCGTATCTTTAAGATGTCTATGTTAATTTTCAATAATATATTATGCACTATTATTTTAAAGTTATATTTTATTAATATAATAATCCTAATATAAGTTATATATATTAAGTAATGTCATCTTACTTATTATAATAATATCATTGTAATTACATTACATTTTAAAAATAATATTATCGTATATTATGACTTGCCGTATACGTAGTTTTATTACTTTCGCCAATAAACGAAACAAATAAATATAAATGAAGACTGTACATTTATCAATTAATTCTGATTACAAAGTGTGAAATATTAAACTAGACAAGAAACTATGTTTTTTTGTTAAGGAAAACATTCCATTTAATGCAAAAAATTGTATTGAAATTGTACACATCTACATAGTATACAGTAACATCATATCTAAATAACAAAATTGAGAATATTTTTTGTGCCTTTACATATATATTGAGTTTGCATTTACAATTTTAAACATAAATAAACTGCTATAATGGTTAAGAACGTAATTCTACATTTTATTTTTACAGCACTACACTGGTGATCTAATTGCAAATTTATTTGGGCCATCTCTCATGAGAATTTTAACATCTTGTTTTTTATTTTTCCCACATATATTGAAGACTCCAGATGTCATTTAGTAAGTAAGTAATTCTGTAGACGGCCTCGTTGGTGTAGTGCTTTGTCACAACGCTATACTTATACTCGTCGCGGTTTCGATTCCTCGCACAATGCAAATATTTGTATTCATGAGTACAAGTATTTGTATTGGTCTAGGTAATTTCTATATATGTAAGTATTAGTATCAGTTCTCCAATATACCACCTATAACACAAGCTCGGCTTAGCTTGAGACTAGAAGAAGCTTTTGTGAATTGTTCTGTATCTAAATTTAAAGACACGAACATACATATATACAAAATCCATAAACAAACAAATTGTTCGACCGAATAACCCCAAAGTCGTATAAGCAGATTTTACAGTTACCATCCTTATTTGTAGAAATTTTGCTACTAATGCTATACTATAAATCAAAGCCGCGTACCTTATTCTAAATATATCTATGGATACCTCTCTGCATGTAAAAATATATAAGGAAAATTAAAGTTTATCACGTCTAATCAACAAAATAGATCACCGGTAACTTCACTGTGATCTACTAAAACATTTATTGTCGCAATCAGTATCTCATACTGAGACAGTAATGATAGAAGAAATTGCATTCAGAACACAATAAAAAAACTAATCTTTGAAAGTATTTTTTTTGTAATCGATATCTATTTTTTAATATAAACAATATCACTATTCAAATTTAAGTAAAAACATAAGAGTTATTTTTTTTTACTAAAATTTTACTGTCAGAAATTGGAAAGATATTATTCTTCATTTGTTATTTACTAATTTACATGTCAGGTCATCTTCTATATAAATAATATATTATTACAATTTTCCTTATTTCGAGATTAATGTTTATATTATGGGGACAAATATGAGAATGTATTTATTACAGATATCTAGCGCATCAAAATGAGATTTGTATTTTTATATGATTTTTAAGCTTACAAAATTGTAAATTATTAGTTTATTCGTTGATATGTAGTAAAACCCATCTAATATAATTATGTATTCCTTTTAATTGCTGCACTAGTGGACTGCCTCGGCTTCACCCGGGTATTTATATCTTTTTGAGTTTTTTTCTATGTATAACTCCATGTCACATTGGAATAATATACCTAATTTACGTACCTACTTTATAAACCACACAACAGTTGTGTGTTCGGTAGTCGAAACAGTCAAAGACTTTCTCAAATGAATGCGGTGGTTTCGGATTGTAAAAACAAAATTTTATCTGTCACTTTATAACATTATAGATTCTCTTTAGAATCGACGAAATTTCCTGAATAATGTATAATATAAAGCAAATAAATAATGTTATGAACTATCATTGTAAGCATAACATCATCCAAATTAAAATAAAACATGTGGCTTATTTCATTATAATGTAGTGTGTTTAGTAGAGGTTAAAAATTAGGTATATCAATTATATTATTATTTTAAATATTTTGACCATTAGGTACAACATTATGACACCATGTGCGAAACCTTTGTAAAAACCTATTTAAATAATCATTACGTACAACTCATTGTAACAAACTGCCAATTTTGTATCATTATACTTATATAAATCTCGCGTGATAAAGTTTGTATAGGATAAACTCCGAATTTTTTTAATTTTATATAATAAATTTGGTTTGCTGTGTGTGTTGCTAGCAAGCTGACCGTTCTTTTCGTAAGTGTAAATCATTCTTTATATATGTTTACGAAGTCTTATGAAACGAATATATGTCTAAAATTATATTTGTTATTTCTTATTTCAAAGGAAGCTCGCCCCCGTTACATTGTGTAATTTGGTCCAACGAAAACATAGTAAATAGCGTTTATTGACTATTGGCTCGGTCAACTAGTAAGTATTATAATATTACAAGCTGCAATTTGTTCTATTTTTAATAATGCCGGTTATAAAGTCATATTATTATATTATATTGCCTTCTGCATTCTGCCTTCTGCTTATGAACATTACTGTTATAACGCCGAAGACTTCTTGTTTTTTGAACTGAGCTCTAGATATATTTTCGTAGTAAATTAAAATCAAAAAGGTCTTTTATAATACACTTACGATAAGTCAACCGTCAGTTAGAAATGCAGTTTGGACCGAGAACTGTCAAGTTCCAATAAGATTGTATATAACTGAAATAACCTCGGTTCAGTTATTCAGAACAATGCCGACATAGACCGCGATGTAAGGCACAGAATTTGTGCGGGATGGATGAAATGGCGACAGATCTCGGGAACGATATGCGACCCGAATGCCCTTGAAACTAAAGGGTAAAGTTTATAAATCTATCATAAGACCTTTCATTTTGTATGGCATGTGAATGTTGGGCCGTAAAGGGGTCGGACGAAAGACGTGTGCATGTGGCAGAAATGCGAATGTTGAGATGGATGTGTGGGGTCACCAGGTATGACATAATAAGGAATGAGTATATACGAGGAAGTTTGAAAGTTGTGCCAGTTATAGAAAAGTTGCGAGGTAACAGATTGAGCTGGTATGGGCATGTTAACGGAGTAACGAGAATCATGTCTTATGGAAAGTCTAAATTATGAATGTGAACGCCTAAGTAAAGATGGATGGATTGTGTGTAAGATGATATGAATAAAAGAAGAGTATGCTCAGATATGACGACCGATAGAGAGCAGTGGAAGAGGCTGACATACTGCGCCGACCCCTTATAATGGGATAAGAGCAAGGCAATCATGATATAACTGAAATAATATAGGTTAATTGAGATTAATATCATAATTTAAAAACGATTAAGTATTTATATGTTAGTTATATCTCTATTAGTACTATGTTTGGTGTAATTAAAACATAATAGACCAGGAGATATTGAATTATGTACCTAGATAGTTCAATGAACCTTATAGTATGTATAGACATATGAGTAATGAATAAAATACTAATTATATACAAGTTTTATTATCAGACATAAAGGGATTATTGTTTTATGCTATTATATGTGAGTAGGTTTGTAATATATTCTACCTACTAGATGACCTTTGGTTACCGTGCGGAAAATAGTGGCTTGTTATATACCTAGATTAAGACTATGAAATTGATATTATATATTTTTTTATTTTGCATATTTGACCGTACGGCGTACGTGGATAATACATTTTACAATCATCATTACATAGTATAAAATAAAGTCGCTGTCTGTCCCTCTGTCGCTATGTATGCTTAAATCATTAAAACTAAGCAACGGATTTTGAAGCGGTTTTTTAATAGATAGAGTGATTTAAGAGAAAGGTTTATATATATATAATACATGTACACCCATACGAAGCCGGGGCGGCTATCTAGTATTTTTATAAGAGAAAATTGAAATAGTACCGTGTCTTTATTTCTAGTTCGACGACTTTATATATATTATACTACTTTTTTATATAGCTTACATGATCTAACTTTCTCTGGTTTCTCTGATCTAATTTCATTTAATTTCATTTCATATAATTCGTACACTCAGATTGTGGATTTACTCACGGGACTACAGGAGGGTTTTTTTCAAAAAGAGTCAGCTGGTGTTATAGACCATAATCTGCCAATTGACTACAGTAATCGTTTACCATCAAATGGGCCGTATGCTTGTTTGTCACCGTCGTAATATAGAAAAAAATATTAGACACCTAACGTAATATAACAAGAATTATGTACAAATAAGTCTATCTGACACAAATGACATAAATAATAAAAATTTTGCATGTATGGTTTTGAAAGCAAAACTAGACAATTTTATAATGTAGATACTTTTATACGAAAACAGTAACACCGAAATTGACAAAAACCTGAGCATAAAACCAAATTATTATGCGCGTGTTTAGGCCACGAAAAAATCGACTTCTATCTGCTAATTTATATAAATTTAAATAATCGTTCCCAGATTATCTAGAAACCCATACTTATCTAGAATTCCGAAACACACAATCCTTACTCTATAATATGTGGGCATACCCTGTGTTGGGTTAGTTTATTAAATAACATATACTGCAAATTATGATGCTCTCTATATTTGACTAATTTTACAGTACCCTTTTTATAGTTCAATTGTTAGAAACAGCCAGTTTTAATTTAAACACAACTTTTTAATTTGTCTAAGATTGCCTTAATAATGAAAATTTCAACTTTAAACGTGTTGAGAATAATTTTATGTCGAAATTGTATTTAACATCGTGCAATTACAATATCCTATACCTAAGCATAATTTCCAAATAAAAGTTAATTTTGAAAATAGCTTCATACAAAACCTACATAGTGATCGTTTTTTTCAAATCAGTTAAAAAATTAAATATTCCGCGTGCTGTCAATGAGTATATTAGCATAATATACAGATAAGAAGTTCCTACGCGATATATACATGAGTTCATTTTTGCACTGTTACCATGCTACTACAGTGTTTAATGGAGTTAGTAGTGAGATTATGGAAAAACCAGTTAAGAGACCAGCAATATGGTATATAATAAGTGGTTGAGTTTAGGAAAGTTCAGTTGGGAAATCCTTACTGTACTGGAGAAAGTTGCTTAACACGTTTTAAGCCCTATTAATTTTATTATAAATATTATCTTATGTAATTGAATGACAAATATGCTAACTCCCCACTTGATGGTCAGCCGTAGCCGTCGTTTATACATATAATTAGTACTACGAACATCACGTTATCATATGACAACCGTGATACCAAGTAGACTAAGACGTTCATGTTTTTTATCCTTTTATTTCACCGCCTAATCTGCGCCCTACAAGCTGCTTTGCTGAATGGCTGAGACTGTGGTACCCATGCAGACGACTGTTACAGTCTATCTCAGTCAATTGCCTACCAGCACCTATAGTAGACACAAACTCTCTTTTGTTTGAAACAAAACAGTGCTATGTATGTTTTGTTCACGTTCATTTATTTGTAACTGTATTCTGCGGTGTTCTTCGCTTGACTTCGGGTAAAAAGTATCCCATGTTTTAATCTAGAATACACTCTGCATAACTAAATTGCATTGCAATATGTTCAGTAATTTTTCCGTGTTAGAGTAACAAACATATATCTAGGCTCGCAAAATCTTCACAAGCTTTAGATTTAAATTTAATTAAAATAAGTTGTTAACAGGGGATGCAAATATTCTCCTTTGCAAATAATATTCTTCTCAAAATATTCTTGTAGACATTATTTGTTTATGTACCTATTTATAATCATTGTGCGGTGTTATTATTTGGTATAGCATTACGTAGTAGAAGGAATACACCGAAATACCCCAAATTAAATACGCACCTGATAATTGGATTTTGGCAAAATTTATTGCCTTATGACAAAGAAGAGTAGACTAGCGTGTGTGTACCTTAACTAATTTATTAGGCATACTGTTAATTTACGTTTGTATCAATTCACACCATCACTGTAATTGGCTTTAAACTTAATTGAGTGGGAAACTTCCAAATACTGATAGCAAAAGAACTACTTTATTAGTTAAACTTAATTTCAATATGGCGGCAAGCTAACACACCTTGCCGCCTAACATATTGAAATTAAGTTATAACATTTTTCATTACAATATAATTATAACAGACATAAGCCCTCATTTACATACACATTACTTATACATATATTAGTAAGGATACATATATTTATAAAATAATAGGTAGAAAAATATGTATCTAAAGATTAATATAAGAAAATAAATAAATTTAAGTTTAATTAAATAAAGAATTTTCTATATCACTATAAACTAAGTTTGCTATAATTCTTAAAAGAATCGTTGGATACTTAAATAATAAAACATTTGTCGATTTCATACAAACCTAACAGTTTGTTTCTAAATACTCTACACAAGGAATGTTATCAGTACTATCGAGTATATATACTACGAGTATATATATAGTGATTATTTTTTCTATTATTACAGAAAAAAAATTTTAATCAAATCTACAATTACCTGAAAGTCCACCAAATGTCGAAGCACATTACGTTGAGCCAAAAGAATCCTGATTCCAGGGAGAAGTAGATGATGAAGGCTGGAAATAAATAATTAGTCTCATTATTGATTATCAAATCTGAAAGCCAATTGATTTTAAGATACTTCTTGCATCACGTATATATTTAAATCCTATATATAAATCGAAAATGGCAGGGGCCTACTGCCGCGAAATTCTCAGGTTAATTTTGGTGTTTTATTACTAGGTATAACTATGTAATATTATGTTATCTGTGGTATAACTGAAGGTTATTAATATAAATTGACACAGTTTTTGTATTTGGTATAGGATAGATTCCTTATTACCCTGATAACACATTTCCGATACGAGTCGGACGAACGATTTGGCGCATTGACTGCTACACCCCGCAGTCTTTGACCACTTTAGCCAAAGAGGCAGCCAACTCAAACGGCGAAGTCAGCACTACTCGTCCGGACTGATCTTAATAATGTGAACCTAATTTTAAGGGGTAGTTAACCTATCAGTGACAAATATTACATTTTATCCACATTACTCCCTAATGACACTTTAAAATTATTAATCTACATAAAATATAAGTCAAGGCAACATTTAACGCTATTTAACAAATTTATAATAGTCGACAACGTGGTTTGTATGACATGTTTTACCATCTGTTACAAACATATCAAACGATACCAACACGAAAATAAAGTTTATTTGTAGTTTATTTTACGTAATCGGCACGTATTTTAGAACTATACCTAATGGTATATAAATAGTTTTATATTTATTACGTAGGGGTGATTTCTGGTGCTACACATCCGACTGTATTTTTAAAGTAATTTAAATTTAAGATATTTTTTTTAAATGATAAACTAGGTAATTAAGGTAGGTAAACGGAAACAGTCGTCTATGTACATAGACTGAACTGACCGGCGTCTGAAATAAATGAGACTGAGGTACCCACTCATATATACCTCTTACTGGTTCTATAAAAGAAATAATATATTATTGGAAAATTTATTTTTATTACCAATTATGGTGATAAATTTCCCAAAACAATTATTAAACTAAACTTTATTAACTAAACTGTATAAAGCCGTAACTGTTTTCAGTAATGCAGAATGCATTACTAGTAACTAGTAAATTTCACTAAAATTTTTTTTTAGGTTAATCATATTGGATTAAAATCAATAAATTTACACAGATTTGTCCCGGGCTAAACTAGTCACTATTAAATTATACTAAATAAGAGTACATTCAGAGAAGAAGTGAAAGGTGAAAGTTTCATTAACAAAAAACGAAATTTTAAAAATCACACCAATTAAATAAATGTTTAAGAGCGTTATAACATAATATACCTACCGACTGGTCCCTACCGCATCCCTTTTAACTCGGAAGTATCTGCATGAATATCTAATTTTTACCTTTATATCTTTATCAGTTAAACAGACGAATAGACATAATAAATTGGCTATATAATGTGTCCTACGATATCTAACAAAGCTGGATTGCCGCCAAATAATTTTAACTATATTTACCATGACCAATAAAATTCTTTAGCAGTGATAAAATTATTCTATGATTTTCGTTTTATGAGTAAGGAATGTTCTAATTAGTAAACAGGATTATAATTATAATATGGAGAGAAGAGATTAACAAGACATTAGTAACTAGCGCTAGTACACTAGCAATGTAGCGACTTCCACTCGGGACATATGTACATAGAAAACACCCAGACTGATACAAACAATCATACTCATGAATACAAATGTTTGCACTGTGTGAAGAATCAAACCCGCGACGATCAGAAGTAAAGCGGCATGGTAAACCGCCAGACCACTGAGACCACCGTCAACGCAATAATGAATAGAATGGCAACGCAAGGGACAGACGATGTTATGTCTACACGACATGTCATGAACGTCCACGTTATATATGACCACAGTATGACGTTGTAATCTTAGTAATCAACAGTATAATAATAATATTTTTTTATGTATTCTATTTTATTCTAGTAGTATTCACAATTTTTTTAACAGTAAACATCATGTAAATCTAAACACAGTACAAAACAAAGTCACTATCGCTGTCTATATCGACTGAAACGGTTTTTTAATAGATAGTGTGATTCAAGAGGAATGTTTACATGTATAATACATGCACACCCGTGAGAAGCCGGGGTGGGTAGCAGGTATTATAATAAAAGAGAATGGAACGGAACCTGTACGAAGAAAACCTGTGTTACAGTATTCCGCCCCCATACTCGTTTCTTAGGTAATTTGACAGTTCAGTATTTAGACTAGACTTAGAGATATTTAGACTATGGCATCTATATTAAAATATGGCAACGGATACTTAATTTACAATAATGGAATGGTACAACCGCTTACACTAACGATTTACGCTGCCGGAGCACCAGTAGAGGATGATGAGCATGAGTTCAGATCAGTTAACCCATCGTGACAAATTCATTAGGAACTTATCATGTTGGCTTTCAGGTGGAGCCGTGTGGCGGTCAACCTGACATGGTACATTTCTAGCAATGGGTTCATTTTACATTACTAACAATCTTATTCTCCCCGTATGGCTATGGGACTGCTTTCTAACAAGCTGATGGTCAATCAATTTTACATTGCAATCAGCCTCTCATCTGAGCCATTGTACGTACGTTTATTGACATTTCATTATCATAAAAAATCGTTTAAAGAAATAAGTATAACAAAAACACTATTGTTGTTAGGTTGTGCAAGTTATTGCCAAATGTAGCTATTTTGGTCGATCTCATAACACGTAAAGGTCACTTGTATCATTGCCCTGTAGCAGCCATCCCCTGTCATTGAGTGGTGACCGTGGCAGGCAAACAGTGGTTATAGGTACAGTACACACCATATTTTACTAATGCCGAAGCTACTATAGACCCCTGTAAACAGTAAAATATATATACGTAAGCATATGCATTATACTACATGTGTTTACTGCTTACATGTGGAAAAAAATATTTCTTATTTTTTATTATAAGCCAAAAAAGTCTTATTTTATATAAAATACTATACTTGCGACCCGCTCCCGGCTTCGCATGGATTACTATTCTTTACTATTACTAATCTTTTAATTTCTTGGCGTTCTTTATACTATAAGACGCATATAAGTATTATACATATAAACTTTAATCACTCTATTTATTGCTAAAATTTGCATTACAATTCGTTGCCTAACTAAAATATATAAGCCAACAGTAAGCGGCGACGACTTTGTTTTATACAATTTAAAGATAAGCCAAAATATTTTTAAATTATTGTACCAACATTATAAATTAACAACATTGTAAAACTGTTTGTAACCCAAATAAAAAAAATAATAGATATGTAAGCTATTGCTCCTCATTGACGCCAATTTAAAGTTATTGAGTTTTTGTACAACAAGCATATAAAAAAATATAGTATTGATAAAATGACATTACAGATGGTAAATTAGGAATAGAGTTAGTTTGCTATCAATATATGTTTTTGTATAGTTTCTGGAACATCAAGCCAAGGGCATATATACATAAAAATTAAAGTAATTGTATCACCCAACAATCTATTTATTTAAACACCACCAATATTGTCTAAGCTAAATACTATATACTACATATATGTATATGTGTTTGACAAATTATTTTTGATTCGAAAAATATTTGCAGTTATGTTATAATTTATATGAAATTTAATAAAGAAAAATATAGGTACTTAACATGAAACAATACGGACAACTAACTGTTAATGCTTAAGTAGGTAATAAATTTCATTTAGCATAGTTATATGAGATTTGTCATTACATTTTCCCTGTATGTATTAGCCATTCATAGCATTTAATAATAGTCTCCAGGAATTTATGAATAGTACACGATTTGTACTGAATTTACGTCATTATTAGAGTGATATATATAGTGTTAAAAGACATAAAGGCATATTTAGGCCATGGCTTTTGTGAATCGCGACCTATATATGAACGTAAATCCCTAAGGAATTAACAAATACTTATTGCAGTGTCATATAAGCAAACATATTTGTTTACATGACTGAAATAAAGATATATACATGTCTGTTTAATCCTGAAATTAATAAATTAATGAATAACAATAATATTGTATTAGAATAAAGATATTAGATTTATTTATATTACTGCAACTTTCGAAATGGAGAATGAGGTAGAAGAATGGACAAGACACTTGCTGTAGTATTAAGAACTTATAATATAATAAGTCATCTTACTTATATATAAAAATTAAATAATCGTTATTTTACGTTACGTTAGTCTCGTTAAAACTCGAGAACGGTTTGGCAATTTTTTTTTTAAATATTTGTAAAGGACGGATGACGACCAAGGACGGTTCTTTATCCTCTCTTTTTAAAGTGAGAAAATATGAACAAACTGCATGGAAAATAGAGAAACCAGCGATTTTATTTTCCCATACAAACAGTTCTTACTTGTCAGAAATTTATTGCGTCATTAAACTTCAAAAAACCTTTGACATATAATTAATTCTGCGGCGGAACTGAGTTCGCGAGGTTAGCCGTTTGATCCACAAGTCAGCAGGAATTGATAGACATACTTAAATACTTAATTATATTTCTTATGATAATATTATAAACGCGAAATTTTGTGAGTATGGATGGATGTTGAAAACTACTGAACGGTTTTTGAAGAAACATTACAGTAATATAGCTTATACATCAGAAAAACATATAGGCTAAAAAATTTTATACGGGTGAAACCGCGGGCACACCTAGTTTTTTATAAATATAAAAGATGCTAAGGTATACACCAGATTAGGTCCGTACATTCGCAAATTCATCTACAACTTAAAAGGTGTATGTTCTCATAGATTGCAATCTCTTCCACATACCTAGTTTTAATAGCTGGTGATATATTTTTAAAAAATATTGAATAATAGATGATACAAGAAAAGCATATACAAAACTCTCTAGAGAACCTTAACATTTTCGTAAAAATGTTGGAATAGTATTTAATCAGCTTGGCAAGCTTGTTCTATTTATATAAAACATGAAAATTTATTTTTGTCGCCGTTAAAT